CGCTAGCTGTCCTCCTCCTATGCCAGTCGTACGCAAATTCACGCAGCCGGGCGAAGTTCGCCTCCGAAGAGACGAGATCGGAGTACCAGGCAGGTCCGGGTCTCTCGAGCACGATTCCCTGAAGCAGAGCTTGGCGTAAGTCTTCGTACAAAGGGCAGGACCACAGAACGTGGTGCCTGTCCTCTTCACGTTCCCCACATTCGCATTCCGCGGCGGTCCGGAGACGCATATCGCACAGGCGCTTGTTAAAGCACCCATGCCCCGTAAGTATCTGGGAAGTAACATAATCTGGTACGACCCAGCGCATGCCGAGTCTCCCAGCCACGTCGGGGAAGAATTGGAAGAGCTCGCGACCCTTCGTCTCCCCCTCCCATCTGGTCTGCCAAGTATCCAGCACCGACTCCAAAATTTCTCGTTTCCGTCTGCCCATCGCGTCCCTGGGCGTGTCCCTGCGGGCCACGTCCGTCATGCCAGCGCGGGAAACCTCCAAGTCCGCGGGTAATACGCCAGCAAGCACCGGGAGCGCGGCTGTGCTGACCGACCGATAAGCCTTGGTCAGTAGCACCAGTGCAGGCCGCTGCCCCCGGAGAATAGTGGTGCGCATGGACTGCACCGAGAGGCGCTCGTACCAGCATGCCGCTGCATACGCAAGGGTTGCAACAAAAGTGCCCTGGTACAAAATGCGAAGGCCTGGGTAACGAATGCCCCAGGAAGACGCCGACACACGCGACATCTTCCCGAAGCATTTGGCCGCGCGATCTACGATCCCTTGCGCATGCATCGAGAACAGGAGACTGCTGTCGATTGCCACGCCGAGCACGGTTGCGACGTTCACTGAACGGATCGACGCACCTCCGAAGCGAATGACTGGGGGTCTCTGGAGTTTTCCCCTGATCGTCATCGTGGATGACTTGGCAGGGGAAAAGCCCAGTCTGTTACGGACGCCCCAGTCGGTCACCAGACTTAGGGTCTCGGCGGCCGCTGCTTCTATGGCAGCCCTCGAGTTTGCCTCGATCAAAATGGTGACGTCAGCAGTTGTCGGGCAGTTGATCAGTATGGGCATGTAAGGGAGTGCGCACACTACGCCGATTCGATTTGGCCGATTATTCATACAATTTAAAATCGGGCACAACTATCGGCCAACTAAAAATCAACGGTGTGCCTACTCTGACCGGTGCATTTTGTATGGAGTTTGACAGATTTTGACGATTGTTAACACTTTCCGTGACAGTGAACTGCTATAGCAGTCATAACAATTAAACTTCTATTGTGTCTGGGTTACTGTCCGGGAAAGTGTTAAAGTAAGATGGTGCAACTCAGTCTAAAATATCAATAATTAACTTTAAAAAAAAATAAAACCGACTTCAAATGCGTGAACACAAAAAAAAAACTAAAAATTAAAAATATTGCGTATAAAAAAGTTCATCCCCAATTTTCCACCCTTGGGGGTGAAATATTTTCTTCAAATTCGCATGAAACCACCCTTTTGATAATACCTATTCAACAAAAAAATAATCNGGTAGAATAACGAAATTCTGTAATCGGTAGAGCTAGGAATACTAATTTGGGATGAGTGAAGAAATGGGTTGAGTTATCATGGGTCGAATACGGAATAACCCCTTCAACCGTCATGAAGACCACTTTTTGATAGGGTAAGTCCTTTACGCGGTATAACCGGAAAACCGAAAAAATGCCACTTTCGGGGGCCCCCACCACTTAAGCACAACTCCGTCGAAGTCGAAAACTTAGGAGAGTCTTAATGGGCAACCAATGAAGCCATTAAAACAATAAAATCTTTTGTAGGAATTATTTCCGATTTAAAAGCTAATTCTACTGGACTATTAAGCTTTAGGTAAATCTAACTCTTTATCTGGTGGAGACAGAACTGATGGCACCATATTTTGAACTTTATTGAGATACCATAAGGTTCAAAACTAATGAAAAATGTTTTTCTCTGTTCTGTATTTAATTGTGATGATCCGTCCTATGGTTCACAACATAATGCTAAATGCAAAGTGAGTACATGATTAGTTTATTCCCTAGTTTCAATAAGGGCTCGTGCGCACTGGTGACTTGTAGCCGTGACTTTTTTGTCACCTCCATACATCTCCATGGACTGGTACTTTTGTCGCCGTAACTTTTTTGTCACCTCCTTAAAGATGAATGGAAAAAAAAAGTTTGTCACTGTCACGTCGCTACGTGCGCGCACCGCCATACATCTCCATGGACTTCAAAAAAGTCACCCGTGCGCGCAAGCGAGGGTTCTTGGCGACTGATGCCATGAATGGTAGAAAGTGACGTTTAGTTAGTATAGAATAAATGAAGTAACGTAGGAAATAATTTCCGATCACACATGGTCACGTACGCCATAGCGCGGTCACCGAAGATCGTCGCAGACGTCGTTGTCGCAGATGGAATCCATCTGCAATTAAAGAGGAAGTCGGCTACCTCCTTAATTATTTCTAATGAGGACTCCGGATGTCGAAAATGAGGACATCAGATGTCCTCTAGGTAGGTGAACTCCTCCATAATCGAGTGAGTGAAGTCACCTCCGAGATTAAACTTAAACCAAGCTGATAGCGTAGCGGGAGAAACATCAGTGACATCAGTGGAGTTACTCCGAAAAACGTTATCCAAAGGTTCAAATGTTGCTATCCCTCTCACGCAAAGCTAGATGCCAGCATCAGCGACAGTGACAGATAGCACCGAAATTACGTAAACAGCGTTTCAGAGTAGCCCTGCTGCTCAGATTCAGAGGACTAAAAGGATTGTTTCGAAATGATGCAGCAAGGAGCCGTCACTAACGCAGGCACAGAAATGGTTAAGGCACATTAGCCTCGTAAGACCGAAGAGCAAATTTTGTCGACTTCTAAGTATCGCCGAATGTGCTTTCAGAAGAACGAACAATTTGAAGTCGTAAACGCCGAGCACTTCGAGTAAAAAATTTTCTATGTTAGAGATTTTCTTTTGCACCCATATTTTCAGGGACCCTATATAATAGTGCATAGAGCTTATTTTAGGTAAAAAATAATAAAAAAATGTTTTCTCTTAAAAGAACATTCGGTATTACAGACTTTAAAAAGAAAAAGTAAATAAATTGTATTTTATACTTTAAAGTAAAACATAAATGTAACCTCCTTAATAAATTAATACTACATAAAGATACAATAATGATATAAATAAATGTAACTGAAAAGGCACAAGTATTTTAATTTTATTTAATGTTTCATTATTAGTACTTTTAAAAGTACTATCGGTTTTATAACATACAATAATGATAGGTTAGAATGTACAAGAAGTAAAGTGAATATTCATGTTAATTATAATATTTCTTAAACTAAAAATCAGAACTTTTTTATTTTAATTAAATTAAAATTTTAAACCATCGAAGCAGATCTTCTCAAATAATAACGTAAGTAACAGTATCCAAAACAATATCAGTTTCCTTTTTCTCACTGTATTTTCCATTCATTTGTCGTCGTGAACTTTATCGCGCAAAATAAAAGCGCATAAAATAAGGACTCAATGTTATTTTCTGCCAGTCAACTATTGATTGAGCGGTCACTTCCAGAAAACTCACTTGTTGTTTCATGCAACTGCATCAATAATAATAAAAATAATTTACATACCAATGGGCGTCGGACTCACTTCTGATATGTTAGATTCGTACACATACTCACTCACAAATTGGATATTAAATACAAATAGTCTGAAACCAACTTATTCACCAATACCATAATTTGCTAAATCAAGCCATCAATCATAGGTACACAACACACTTTCGAAAGCTCTCGGCTTTACTCGCTCGCGGCCCACGTTCGAATGCCACAAGGAATATCTTTTTGTTATCCCGTACGACTCCCCGCGTTCCTCAGGTGTAATTTGATAGCCAAATCAGCGTTAATCCTTTCGTTGCTAACACTACTTAGTTTACAAATTATAGAGCCCATATAACATAACAATGTACCTCCTTTGATCAATCTTATGGAGTATCGTAAACTACTGCTTCGTAGTAGTTAGTAGTAAGAGGTTTTAAAAAAAACACTATTAAAGTCGTAGATTCAAGCCAGTGCCGTAACTAGCCTTTTATGCGCCCGGTGCGAGCTTTCAAAACTGCGCCCTTGAAAAATGCTTGGTCTGGTCATTTCTGCGCCCCTCCAGGGTCTGCGCCCTGTGCCTGGGCACCGCTGGCACCGCCCTAGTTACGGCACTGATTCAAGCTCCACCAGGGGGTAATCGAATTTGTTAAGGCAACAAGCAAAGGGGTTTTAAAATGCATTCTTAACATTTTTGTTTAAAAAATTTTTAAAGATGATTTATCTACTGAAACTTTCTCCTAATGTTAAAATGCTTTATCACATTACTGGCATTTTACCTGAAAATTACGCCATCTCCCAAATAATATCACGTCATAAAGGGGAGAAATTAGATGCAGGATCTGCAATTTCGTGTAGCGACGTGTCGACGGTAGAGTGGCCCATTCCGATCTATTAGCTTAATATATTCAATTACAGTGAGAACTTACAAGTACTGCATGTCACGTCTGGCGTAGCCGAGATTGCTGGTTAATTACTACAGTCAATAGAGGGTGTTTCAGTTAAGTTTAATATTGTGACAAAAGCTAAAGTTTTTATAAACACAACGAATATGATCACTGAGTACATATTTAGAGTCACGTTGAGTCAGTAAATTACGTAAAATTTCAGCAACTTCAGGAATTTCAGGTTGATTTGGCGTGAGGAAATAGCAAAGCGGTTATGAAATCGTAACTTAAAAGCTTTTTCACAGATCTGAAAAACTCTATTTGTAGAGTTCTTCCAGATCTGTGAAAAAGCTTGAATGTTATGACATTCGACAATCACTATTTTGTATCTTACTTACTCGTACCTAACTAGTTTCTCTAAATTTTAATTTAGATCTACCTACTAACATGACGTTATCATTGGTCAGTACTAACTTTCTCATTTTGATGAATGAGTAAAGGCTTTTTGTACACTTACCTGAGATTTTATAGAGACGAATTTATGAGGAACATTTTCTAAAGAAGTGTTTGAGTAATGCATGTTTTGACTAGTGAGACTAGCGTCTTCGTCGATGACCTCTTTCTTTAATACTCCGCTAAAACAAAAACGAAATGTTGAAATACAGGGTGTTTACTAAATTGGTCATCAATGTATGTGGGTATAAGTATGATATGTTTATTGACGTGAAATATTGTTGTAAAATAAATTAAGATTAATTAACAATCCATCGGGTAAACCTTGTCATGCTCGCGTCTCGATTTGGTATCGTCTATTAATATTGCCCTTGCTCATGTCGCCTCAAAAATGAGTCATTGTTGCTGACTCAATTTCAATAAACGCGGTCAGTTCTGTTTGAGCAATAAACAACAATAAAGCTCTACATGTAAAGACGATAAAGATGTAGGTCTGTATGAACAAGGAAAACGTACACAAAGCAACATTACATAGAAAAGTTCTAAGAACTTTAATGTTGAGGAAAAGTAGTAAAGTCTTCTTACCAAAAGTGCGAAGGAACTGACAAATCGTAGAGTCCGGTGACGAGTGTTACGTTTAGCCAACTAGACGGTGTATCCCAACTAATATTATAAATGCGAAAGTAACTCTGTCTGTCTGTCTGTCTGTCTGTCTGTCTGTTACGCTTTCCCGCTTAAACCTCGCAACCGATTTTGATGAAATTTGGCATAGAGATAGTTTGAGTCCCGGGAAAGAACATAAGATAGTTTTTATCCCGGTTTTTGAAACAGGGACGCGCGCGATAAAGTTTTTCTGTGACAGACAAAATACCACGCGGGCGAAGCCGCGGGCGGAAAGCTAGTACTAAATAAATTAAATATTTTATTTATAAAAACAGTGTTTTGACATTTGTACATGTCTTGTACCTATCTACCTGCCTGCCACCAAAGCCCGTCAAGTAGTTACCTAGGCTGCCCGTACGCACATACGGTATGAATATCATTCTCAACAATCATTAAACTTCAACCAACCTCAAGGGATGAACGATGAGCAGCACCAAGAACAACATGTAGAGCTGGTGGGTGTACCAGAAGCCATTATACAGTCTCCGCCGAACTACCCTCATGGACGTCAGCGCCATGCTGACTACTATCAGCAGCATCGACACACCTGTCAGGCCTGCTTGACTCATCAACAACGATAGAGGATTCTAAAAAAATAACATTGTAAAATAGTCTTAAAATAATAATTTAATCAACCAGCGTGCAGCGCCCACTTCACTTAGGCCACTAAGGGAGAAATATGCGAACTTAAGGTTCTGCACTGCGTGGCGTAGGCAGGCCTCCCACTAGGTGGACCGACGATCTGGTGAAGGTCGCGGGAGGTGCCTGAATGCGAGCGGCGCAGGACCGGTCTTTGTGAAAATCCTTGGGGGAGGCCATTGTCCAGCAGTGGACGTCTTTCAGTTGAAACAAACGAAGAAACGAAGATACTGCAACCCATTCGGCCAGCGTGCGTGTGTGTGAGTGTGTGTAAGCCAAATCCTCAATTTGTCTTAAGGGAAATTTGAGGGTCGACTGCAGAACAAACTATGGCTTGAAAGGTACCTACTATGCTGCACATTTGCTATGAAAATTTATCGTATTTGTCCACAACTTCAGCTACAAGCATTTGTACAAACTTTCAAAGTGACGTAACTTTAGTAACTAACCTGATTTTTATAGTTGGCGAAGTTTATCTCGCTCCTTTCCTCGTCGTAGCCTCTAGAGAAATTCCACAAGTTCACAAAGTGAGATATGGAATGTATCACTGAAAACACGTTCTAAAATTATTCATACAGCCATGTTTATACGTTATTTAACATTATTCAGCGGTGAGTGAGACAAAAGCACCATGTAATTTATGGGCAGACATCTTATAAGAACAAACAAGCGTGATCTCCCCTTGGTCCCATAGGTAAAGGCACAAAAGCTGGTGCTAAGCGGCAGTGACGCCATTAGCTTTCGTCTCGAGGACATAATGGTGCCTAGAACAAGAGCCTTTTAGGTTTAACGGTGATTTAGTGTTGGAACCACTTTGGTTGGTTTCACACTAGGATTATTATAAACTGTGCGCGGGGGACTCATTGAAGCTATCGTTCGTTATTTGCTAAAGCATCGTTTGACGTGATTTATACGCCTATAAATTCATTCGGAGCTCAAACGTAAATAAATGCATTATTACCGCTTCGACAGTTATGATCGGGATTTACAAAAGTAGTTTTAATAATAGTTGCTTGCTCTAACCGCCAAAAATAATTCACGTCATGCTGCCTTTCCTTGAAAGTTTTAAAAATCTCAACTGCTCAAAGAAGTTTCAATTTTTTAGCTGTAGCAGCGCCGAGTAGAATTTTATATAGCCTAATCCAATCGAAGAACTAAGAGCAACTAACAAAATTAACTAAAGCTGTTCATGTGCGTTCCTTCAGTTTTCTTAGTTAGAATAGTAACTGCCCAAATTTTCGAAATACATAGCTAAAGTGTTTATCACATAATAAGCCAAAATATTCAATGTAGAGTCAACTCGTAATGGCATTGATTGATTTACTCACCAGCAAATAATACTAATGTAACAGCAACAGTCATGTGGAAGCTCTTTGCCTTCTCCAGCCAGAAGAAGAACACTCCAGGGCAGAACCCCGAAAGAAGGCGGTAGACCACCAGGTTGAGTTTCTTGCAGAGTGGAAGAAGCACCAGCGCTGAACTAATGTTAAGCACCGACGCGGTGCCTCTAGAGATACATAGCCCTACCTGGAACGTACATTGTTAATAGTAGAGACCTTTTTTCATACCCGAATTTAAAACTTTTAATACAATAGTACTTTTGGTCCAACACTTACCCCTAAAATTCGTCTCAAATAATGAAACTCACGACCGTGGAGATAATAAATAAAAGTACTATAAAAAAGGTATATGACTAATGAGATCCATGATATCTGAAACAATGAACACAATATGAATTATTTTAAAAATTAAGAGAACGTTACCATTTAGTAGGTACTAACATTAATTTGGACTTTGGTCATCACTTAAAATTAAATCCGACTATCGTTAAAACTGAGTGTTCTTCATCCCAATCTTAACAAAAACAAACTGTAGCTATTTCTGCGAAGCATTCAATTAAATCTGGAATCTTTCGAATTATAAACAGTGATCAAGGGAACTCTATATTTACCCCTCTAATTCTGTTACTATGGATAAAATAGTATTTTGGATGTAATTTTTAAAAATAGATTTATTTCTGCATAGCCTCGCATACCAGAACAAATGACTTGTCCTGGATTCGTAATCCACGTGCAAAGTTCGCTGAGATTCATTTTTGGGTCATATCAGTGTGAATGTCCACCCACATCTCGTTTGCAACGCGGCGTGAAGTGCGAACACAAACACCGCGCGCGTCCGGCGTGTAAACCGATGTCTACGTACAGCTCTACATCAGGCAGACTGCATTCAGGATGTCCGCTCTCCGACACGTCTCTACCCTAACGATTGCTTTGTGATTGTAGGTATTGCATATCCATCTAAATATTGATTCGGTTCTTTTGTAAGCAAAATGACGCTCGAGCTCATCTACTACGACTCCTACAGATAAAAATTGTGCATGAATGAAATTTCGAACCCTGGACCTAAGATTGCCTCAAATGATAAGAAGATATTTTATGGAATTATAGGTGTGTAGTGTGTACCTACCATTTGATTTTTTTTACTGCAGCTTTGTTTCATGACCTAAATCCTACTTACTTACAAGACGAGACGCTTGGAGCTTTTTCCTAAACTTAAACGCTAAGGGAGAGCTTTAAAGGGTGTCTGAAGAAAATCGCTAAACAACCGAGTGAACGAACTAAACTCTATCAAAATAAAACACTTGAAGATGCAACTGCACGAGACGTTTTCAGGTTACTACGGTCCACGGCCTGAATGAAAGAAGTGCAACACAAACAGCCGTGCGTCGGAAGTGTAGTGTAGAACTGTAGATAGTACCAAGTACAGCCAGACTCTATTCAGGGTGCGTATCGCTTTGACAGGACCACTGGCCCATTGAGCGCTGAATGGCCGATGCGCGGCGCGCATTAATTACCAATGCCGAGCTATCATTGCATCTCATCTGCATGTGACGGGATTTGTTCCAATAGCAGTGTTTAATAGGCTAAACAGAAGGTTAATGAACTTTACTTGCAGTATAAATCTTTAGTGTAACGCTTTGTCTCTTAAAATGTCCAGTTGATTCATTTTTAGGGTTCTGTATAGTTCTGTAGTCCTGACAATTTAAAGAATTTCATCTGCATTTGACGGGATTTGTTCCAATAGCGCAGTGTTTAAAGTCTGTTTAATAAGCTACACAGAAGGTTAATGAACTTTAATAACAAAAGCACCTTTCTCTGTGTCTTTAAATTTGTTATTTTGGTTAAAAAGTAACATGATGTCTGCGGTTAATGAAAATTGCCCCATAAATTATCGAATATGTCTCCGATCGTCTCGATCGGCAGAGAGATCGCTCTCGGTGATAAGAGCGCCAAAATGGCTACATCGTTCTTCTGAAAATGTACAGTCTCTTCAAATCGCACGATGTGCAAAATTGAGGGCGAATATTTTTGTCCATTAATAACTGGACATTATTATTCATGAGTCGTCTAAATTCATTGAAATGTAAAAACTAACTTTTACTTTAACATTATTGGTCTAGAATCTCTAAAATTAATAACCACTTAAAGTACAAATTGGTCGTCACTATTACCTTACAAAATGCTCTTATAAAATTTGATATATTCGTATAGCACTGTAAAAGCCTTTGAGGCATTACGAACAAAGTAAGAAAGTCGCTGGCTCGAGCCATGCATATTGTAGAGCGTGCGAAGCGCTGCAACTAAGGCATTGACTCAAAAGCTCTCCGTAAAACTATTTCGTCACATTCGACTTTGATCCGACTCTTTCAGTCCTATGAAAGATAAGAGAGACATGTAGAGAAAGAGAAATCGAAATCGAAATCGCTCGATTAAGATAGACCCACAGTCACGATTCCTTCGAGAATTAACGATGTGAATCATATGCAACTCTACATTTACATCTCGTTGTCTTATTAGCAGCTACTACGTAATAGTAAACGCATATGGGTGACACAATCCTATTTCGGATCGGTTGACCCATTGTCGGTACTCGGTACAATAACATGTAACACATGATTTAATGTTTTCATACCTTGCAGGAGTTGCAGGATTCGAACCCTGATCGCTGGAACTTTAGTCGTGGTGCAACTACCGATACCGGCATAGTTACCTTGGTAACACCTACACAATTAAGAAGAAACTACTCGTACACATTTGTTATCATCATAATTTAGTTTACATTAGTGCTGTGTAACATTATCTTTGCGTGGATGATGATCAATCAACTACAAGTTCACACGTACGCGTCGTCAGCCGTCATCATAGTTTGTTCTATAGCTAAGTATATGACTAAACTTCTGTTTCTTACAGGAACATTTTCTCTCGCACAATTTTTATTTACTATGAAGTTCAAAGTCAGACGCCGTAATTTACGCAAGTGCCTAAAAGCAAGTTCTTTTTTTTATTTTACCCTTTTTTGAGTTTTGGTACTCCGTGCTTCGTTTATCCGAAGACCGAATCATTAAGTATAATAATATGTAGAATGTAGGTACAAGACTAAACTTATGTTCTGAGAGGGAGTGGTGACGATTTTTTTGTTGATTGTGGTTCTTGATTCAGTTTGTTTAATTTCTAACTACGCGACTTTTTAGTGCAGATTGTAAAAATTTTATACGTTACCCGTTGATGGATGGATTATTACCTGTGTACCTACATGATTATGGTATATTCCATGATACGTTTTATGCTGACTACTCATTATAGGATAGTCTAGGTACTCTAGGTGAATCACATAACAAAGCCCTTTGAAATGTGCAAAAATAGATATAAAGTTTTCTAAAGTATGTTTTTTAATACTTTCAAAATAGATTCATAGATGGATAGCAAATTATTATTATTAAGTATTAATAAAAATAACAGTTAAATCCTACTTGCAACTAAGTTATTATAGCGCAAAGATAATCTTTCGCCTTCTCGTGCTGTTTTGATATAGAGTGTGATTTTTATCTTGTAAAATAATGTTGAAGCTCAATTAGCCACATAAAGACGCGGTTAAAGTTAAGCTAAAGTAATAAAATATGCCGCGAGCTGAATGTCTTTCAGAACACGTAGCCTCTGACATCATCGCTTCTCGGAATATACTCGACCCTTTAAAATGTTTCTTACTTAATATCATCTGTAGATTAAAATAACTATTGTATAGTTTTTACATTCTTTAATTAAGTTTTAACGGTAAATATTGTGAAAATTACATTATTTACTGTTTAAGCCTATTTTCTTCAAGGTAGGATAGCACCAACGAAATAATTGGCTACTACCGTTAGCAACTCGATAAAAACAGATGCAATGTTAGTTATAAAATCTATATATATAAAAATGAAACCCGTTTCGCGTTGTCACGGCATCACGTGTGAACGGCTGAACCGATTTCGATAATTCTTTTTTTTAAATGTTTGTGGAAGTCCAAGGATGGTTCTTACGGAAAAAAATTTAAAGAAAATCTCTACGCTAAGGTGGTACGAAGTTCGCCGGGTCAGCTATATTATAATAAATACAAAACTTACCAAAAAGATGCGACGCCGAAGAAACTCAAAACTTTCGCTAAAAATCTTCATTTTTATTGAAAAGTTACTAATTTATTGTGTACCCAAGTTATCGTAGTTTTTGAAAATGGAACAACATTTCCCCGCTCTTTTCTGTTAGCTTTTTTAATTTTATAGCTCCGACCGAAATAGCACAGCCATGACATAAGTTCAGTGTGCAAGCGAGGGAATTCAGCGTGCGACTGGCCGGCCGTGTCGTCATTGAAAACGGGTTGCGCGGGCCTGTCGCTAAGCCCGCCTATGTTCAGGCATAATGTATTACAGCATACCCAACATAACATACCAAAGAAGAACGGAAAACTATTCAAGACTGTAACTTTGTTAAAGCTTTAGAGGGCCATTCATGAATGTGTGAAACTTTAAGTTCGGGCACGCTTTTGCGCTTGCCTATCACGCAACGTCGCATGCACTATAATTCTAAGAGCTCAATCAACAGATTGAAACTTATTTATTTATAATAACTTTTACTTACCTACCCTTAGTAACCTACCTACTTATTCTCACGGTTATTTAGTTACCAAATACAAAAGATTCAAATAATTCAATTTTGACTCAATATGAATGTGAACGTAAAATTAAGAAACATTGTTACTTTGATCAGTTCTCTATTTTCTTTTTTACGTTATTAATCTGGGGGCACGGCAGTGCCCCCGCCAAGTCGAGCGCGAAGCAAACACTGCCGTACCATCCTTTACTGGATACAGATAGTTACTCGTAAGTACTAGAAGTAAGGCGACGACTGGCCGATCACTAGGATCTTGGGTTCGATCCCATGGTTCGATCCCCGCCGCTCGAATATTGTGGTGGTGAACCTATTCGTAACACAAGTATAATATTTATTTACCTTACCACTGGGGTTAACGGGATTATTTATTAGTAATTATCTTTATTTGTATTTACAAATTACTAATAAAGTTTTTAAATAAAATAAAAATTTCATTTGTTTTTTGTGTACCTTCGTACTGACTCAATGAGGGCTATCGTTTTTATACTTAACAGTTGGCACCCCTGGCGATTGACAGGACCTTACTCTACAGTGGCGCCATCTTGATGAGTGCAATTGCGATAGTCCTCCTACCACTTTAGCGCTCACCAGTTGGTGCCAGCCACTGGTCTTCGCTACTAGCAAGTGACAGGACCTTACTCTACAGTGGCGCTAACTGGTGAGCGCTAAAACGATAGCCCTCATTAAGAGTAGGCGCACACCGTTGATTTTTTGTCGGCCGATAGTTTAGTCGGGCTGTTGATCAGTATGGGCATGTATGGGAGTGCGCACACTAACTACGCCGATTCGATTTGGCCGATTCTTCATACAATTTGAAATCGAGCACAACTATCGGCCAACTAAAAATCAACGGTGTGCGCCTCCTCTAAACGCACGCGGACGAATTAAGCTAACATCAAACAAAGTCATTGTAGAAAAATAAACTGCCGTTATCCGATTCAGCTTTTTTTATGGAGCGTTAATTTATTCAGCGTCATTTTATTGCTTTTTTACTATTTCCGGTTGTCAAAACTGTAGTCTATGGTCGTAACTGGTCGTAACGGAAACTTCATTGTTTGATTAGTTCGCCGTTCATTCATTCCATTCATTGAAATTTGAATTCATTCATTCATAAACGTCAAAAAGTTGTATGTTTGGTGGGGAAGTAAACATTATGTTTTTTCTCGATGTATTTGAACTAAACTAGAATTATTATCACAACAACAATAATATATTGTTAGATATAGTGTGTGTGTTAGCTGTTAATTAAATCAAAAGTTATGGAGCCGCCTTCACCATGGAAAAGACCAAACGAAGTTATGCAATTACACAAGTTGAAAAGACGAAAGAAGGCTTTGCAGGTAACTTTTCTTATTTAGTTATTGCAATACATTTCATATTATAAAAGTACAATATTCTTTTTATCAGTAAATTTACCTGTATGATACATAACAAGTTGTTGTTTACCACAAAGAAATTCACCAATTTTCGTATTCTGTAAGCGTTTATGTTTGTACTATGAAATCAGTTTTACAGATTATTTAATACTGTACTGTAATTTATAATATTCCAACGTGTTTATTTACTAAATTCATGTCATAGTTCAACCACACAGCAGGCATAACATAACCTCTATCAAAACACTTGGTATAATACTGCTAAAGACTATATTTTTTCAGGAGCGTATGAAACAACCGGCTCCTTCAACCAGTAACGAGCCAGTCGCCACGAGCCAAACAGTAGATCTAGATTTTTCCAGATTAATAAACGGAGATTATGGAGACAAAAGAAAAAATCCCTTTTCGAAGTGAGCTATCAAAGTTTCACTATTTCAATGCATGTAGAATTAAAAAACATATTATAAGCATCACAATTATGTTCTAGAAACAACTCTCAAGCAACCAAAAAGCCGAAAGTGGAAGTGGAATCGCCTTTAGACGAGTCAAACGACAAAACATTATTTGCACTGCTGAAGTTACCTGCAAAATTACCACAGAAACCTCCCCAAGACCTGGACACAGAGAAACTTTCCACATTCTCCAATTTACTGCAGAAATTCACAGCAGAGCATTCCGTAGAACCTGTAAGTGTAAAGATTAAGAAATAGTAATATTTTCATGTTATAAAACCCTAAACAATATTAGTTACTTAGGTAATATTATTTTCAGCAACATATCGAGAAGAAGTATAAATATCTGCCCATTGATTGGGCATTAAAAACTAAGATTAGGTTAATGTCCCCAAAGCCTTTTGCTTGGACATCCAAGTTGAAAGCAAGTGAAGAAGCGTCAGGAATCACAGGGTGAGTAATTTAAACTTTTAATTCAAAATCTAAAAGTGGCTTATTTATTTATTTACTTATAAATAAAAAAGGTACATTTATTAAGATAAGTGATAGAATTCATTGGAAAAACTGTAGATCCTGGCTGTGCATTAGTTAGAAAGAGCGGTGGGATCAGTCCCGATGTGGCTTACAATAAGTTACAATAGATATTTTCTGCATATTTATCTACAAGCGTTTTCTTGGATGACTTCTTTCAGTTGTAACCAAAAACACACACAAATTAATTATACTCTAAACTTTAAGTATCATAGTGCAACTAAGGTAGCTAGCCTTTCGATCTAAACGTCACAGACGCTTGTCTTTAGCTTTGGTATTTAGTGCCAGTAACGCTGCGTTTGAGTGACATTCCCTAGAATTTCATACATTTGCATAGAACATCTATTTGTCGCTCTGTCGCGGCGTCATAGTCGCGACGCCACTGACGCTATAGATTTAATATGAAATGTGTAGATTCGTCCGCTGCCTCGACACCACCTCATCATCGTCTCTGGACACATCTCCACGTGCGTTGTTCCACCAGACCTGCCTGTACTGGCAGCACCCGCACTTGCCATGGCTGCAGCTGTTCCCGCGCTCGTCGGGCAAGGTCGCGGCTACCAGCTTCATGGCCACCAATGAGGATGTCAAGCAAGCCCTGCATAGGGAGTGGACGGAGAGCTTCAGGTCTCTGTTTCAGGTAAACAGCTAATTGATTGAACAAGAGGAGTCAGATATGTTGTGTAACATTTTAGCATAGGTATAATATTCTCTATTGAGTGAATCAGATAATTTTTATGTTAGTCTCCAAAAGCCCCAACTTTTTTAATCATAATTTTCTTACATGCTGCCAGGTTTGCTTTACTGGGTAAGTTTGATTGCTCATAAATGCGCCTTTAACTATGTAAGATAATAATAGTTATGCTCTACTGACTGGATTTGTCATCAGTTAACAAACGGCATACAGTTTTAGTCTTCCCTAAAGTGAACAGCCTAATCAAATTTTGAGACTGTGGTTTTTCCTTTCAGCTTGTACGAGCACTGCACTGCCCATACTTCTACGTGTGCGCGAACACGTTTACGGTACTGTTCCGCGCGGCCGGCGTCTGCGGCGTGACGGAACCCTGTGCGCTCATCGCGCCCACCTCACGTGGATTCCGGCAAGCGCTGCGGCAGGAAGGTATATTATATCTCTAAAATACCTGTATGTGTACTTATTGAATAAAATAAAATCCTACTAATATTATAAATGCGAAAGTTTGTGTGGATGTCATGATGTCTGGATGTTTGTTACTCTTTCATGCAAAAACTACAGAACGGATTTTGTTGAAACTTTACAGTATTATTGTTTATAGCCCAGCCCATATAGGCTATAATTTATGCCGATCTGTGACACTAAATTTCACGCGGGTGAAGCCGCGGGCAAAAGCTAGTAAAAAATATACATTATATTTTGTGCCTCAATACCAACGGGACTTATCCCACCACTGCAACTCCTGTATAGCCAGGATCTGCAGCTTGGTCTCCCAATGTAAATGAACCAGTGAATTTTGAGTAGTCCTGGGGATATCTTTCTCTTTTGCCTTACCTAGTACTAATGTTACTCTTAGATTGGAGACCAACATCTTCGTAGTTTTGTACTGGACACATTGGTTGTAGGTTGAATCAATAATTTATAATGACCATACTTCAGATTAACCATGCAAAGGCAGATCTTAAATTCTGACACCATGATGATGGTGAAACCATACGATAGAAAACATAAACTTCTCAATAAAACACTTCATATTTTTTTTCATTTCTGATATCAGATGTTGAATTCACAATGCCGCTCCGTTCGGACACCAAGAAAAGACTGAGCAACTCCGACGAGGAGAAGCCGAAGAACTCCTCGTTCGACAGCTGCTACGACACCATGGACGAGGGCTCTAGGCTTGACCCTCCGGAGGGCAAGGAAGACGACGGGTCAGGCGACGAGGACCCTGACCAGTTCCTCTCACAGTTGGGGCTGGAGACGGAGGTTATAAAGAAGATCAACATCAACCAAGTAAGTAATTTGTTTCTATTTTATCGTGTAAAGTTTGCAGTGTAAACAATATGGATGAGGGCTCGCGACTCGACCCTCCGGAAAGCAAGGAGGGTGATGGGTCAGGCGACGAGGACCCTGACCAGTTCCTGTCACAGTTAGGACTGGAGACGGAAGTTATAAAGAAGATCAACATCAACTAAGTAAGTTATTGGTCTACTTTGTCTAATAAACAAAGTAACTTTTTGTTGTTCTAGCCCATCTCTTCCTACTATCGTGGGAACGATATAAGGAATGTGGGAATTTTTTTAACCTTTGGCAACGCTATTTGACGTTAGCTATTCCTCATACCTATACGTCAACTATACCCAGTAAAATTCGCGAGTTCCGCGGATACAGAATGGCAAAAGATCTTTGTTGCAGCAAGCATTCCGCCGTACCAGAAACACAATCCTGTCCCATTCAGCACTATAATTTCATACCCATTTTCTTGGAATTCCAGGTTGTAAATCTGTAAATAATACATCTTTTTTGTTAGGCAGATAATTTAAATGAAACATTTCCTCCAGACCCGAGTGACCCAAACCGCGGAAAGCAGCGTGGACAGCGCAGCCGAGTCTCTGGTATTCGTGCGTGGCGCGGACGCGCAGGCGCTGTTCAACTTCCTACTCAACTGCAAGTCCGTGGTGGGCCCCACCGGGCCGCTGGCCGGCGTGCCGCCAACGCTGCTGGCGCCCGTGGCCTTCCATGGAGGCACGCTGCAGGCGCTCAAGGTAAGAAGGTTCTTCTATCGTTTGGACTGCAAATACCCGTCAAAGTACAATGTCGTTACGTTGCGTTGGGCACTTGGGCCACACAGTTGGATCCCGATATAGCTTGGAACGCCGGCGCACGTGCTTTGTGTGAGATTTCAGTACAGTTTAGTAGTACGGCGCTTGTCAAATTAATGTCCCGCAGCCAGTGTAAAAATGCTCTTCGCATGTCAGCGTTTTGCTGGGGACACAATATTCATGATCTTAAGGTCCAAAAAATAAGAAAAAATTTTAGTTGCTGAAGCTCAAATTTAATTTTTTGCTCACTGAAGGCCAAAATTTAGCAATGGAATCCTCTGGCTGATATTGATTATGAAGCTCAAAAAAACCTGAGTATTCCACTCTCAACTTGACATCTGTTTCTCGACACCCAGGTCCGCGAGAACACGGTCCACTCGGACAGCAAGAAGTACTACTCGATCGAGCTGCGCGGGCCCGTGCTGCCGACGGCGCTGCACTCGCTGCTGCGCGTCCTGCGAGACAGTTCTGCTGCTACCTTCAGCGCCACCTGCGCGCACCACGCGCCCTCGAAAGCGTTTAGCACGCCGCGAGCGCACACCGCGCCAGGTGAGCGACCACACCGTGCACTCGGTCTGGTCCGTGAGCACGTAGAATCCCGTCCAATGACCCCAAGCTACCCATCCTTATCGCTCGCGCGTAATTATATTGCTGTCGCGCTCGTACACTCACTGCGGGCGCGCGTCGCACAGTCGCGACAGCAATATAATTATAGATGACCCACGCTGAACTGTCCCACCAAACTCAATGACAGGGGGGCGCTACCATCGTTCAACTATATGGTTTCCGACATGGCAAAAATCGGAACCAGCGATCCGGTATTGACGGTGGCGCCCCACTGTCAATGTCAGGGGTAGGACAGTTCAGTATTTTGGAACTATACGCGCGAGCGATAAGGATGGGTAGCGAGTAAAGCCTGGTCCGTGAGCACGTAGAATCCCGTCCTATGACCCCAAGCTACCCATCCTTATCGCTCGCGCGTAATTATATTGCTGTCGCGACTGTGCGACGCGCGCCCGCAGTGAGTGTGCGAGCGCTACAACAATATAAAGGAGAGTCCGCTAATTTGGACCAGTTTTTTTCAATCCCATTTTACACATAGTTTTCTTTTGTTTTTGCTAATGTCCATGGTATATAATAAAAGATACATTATTCAACTTACTATTTCATAAGTATTAATTAACATGATTGTTGTATATTTAGCACAAATCAACAAAGTACGAGTTCAGAGCTTCGGTCCAATTTAGCCAACCGGTTCGATAATTTGTACCACAGGGTTACTAAATTGGATTTCAATAAATTTCAAGCCTATAAAAAAACTATGGCAAAATATTATACGATACATTCTTAACAAATTAGGAAACGAAAAGGAACAGTAGTTAATAACATAGACAATCGATATTGTTTTACACGTTATCACGATTTTGAGTACAAGTTTTGTAATTCCAATTATCGTAACGCACACTTGTACCTAATCTACTTTGCCAGTCTTTTGCTTTCATTTATTGTTAGTCAAACATAACTACGCTATTATAACTTCAAAATATGATTTACTAAAAAAAAATTCAAAATCCTTTGGTAAAGTTCCATACAACTTGATGTGGTACAATTTAGCCGACTAGGTGATAGTGCTTTTAAAAAATCGGTAAAAAATATAGCTTATAAATACCGAAAAATGTTTCAAATAATTGTAATCCAAACTAATTTACGCTTCTAAATAATATATTAGAAACACCCTGTGATTAAATTTAACAAAATTACAAACTAAACATGTATTGTCAAAAGTTACTTGAAAACAAAGAAAAAATACTTTTCAAAATAAAACACACGTGTTTGTTGTCACGGCAAAAACCACATGGCCGATATTAATTTATTTTAGTTGTGTATCGCTGAGTGTTGCAATAACAGACATTCAATAAATACTTTACGAAATATGAGGGTGGTACAATTTACCCGGCGGTACAATATACCGAACTCTCCCCTAATTACGCGCATTGGACGGGATTCTACGTGCTCACGGACCAGGCTTTACTCGATCGAGCTGCGCGGGCCCGCGTCCTGCGAGACAGTTCTGCTGCTACCTTCAGCGCCACCTACAAAATGAACTTTTGTTTCCAAAAACATAACCCTCCTAGCGCAGATGGGTAAAATGGTAGGCTTTAACTTTTATCTGTGTGACCATTTTACGAATGGGACGATTTACGTCAAACCCTGTTCTTCTAACGTCTGATAGCCTCATTCTAATCCAAAATATCATCATAACCAGTGCAGAATGCTTTGTTGAACATAAGCTTCTCCCATTCAACTCCGCAACGAGCAAGACTGTCGTTTCAGTGACTGGTGCCTACCCACGCTATCCCTGATTAGAATTTATAGCACTTGTCTAAGATTGTTTCATTTTACAGACGACAGCTCCAAAGAGAACGAACCGAACGCGTTCAGCAAAGCGTTCAACAAGGAGAACCTTTCCGACTGCGGCATCAGCGAAGACATGCTGCAGCACTTCTGCTCGCCAGACCCAAACCTGGTCACGCTGCTAGACAGCGTCAAGTACAACGCAGAAGACGACACTTACTCCTGGTGACGCGTGTTTTATTTATAAGTCAGTTGTTGAACGTGTTTTGTATCAATTGAGATCATGAATTAAAATATTTTTCATAAATAAACCTTTTATTTTCAATATAAATAATGCGAGACGTAGTGTACATAAATATAGCCTGGATAATACAAAAAAAGTCAAGTCATCACTTAATTGTATGATTTATTCAATTTTCATTTTTGGTAAATTAAAAATAAAGATTTCATAAGTCCACAATCACTTACACGTAAACAAGATTCATACAGATCAGGATGAAATAAATAATATTGTGAGAGTTCTGTTTCAAACGACGTAATATTATGTTACCTAACATAACTGCACTAATCACTATAATTATCACTTCAACCAAGGTGGAACAGGAATCTTGGAAAGCTTACATCTAAAATATTCATCTATGTGACCATTCCTCCACGCTCTGGAACAAAAAAATAAAAATTAGTATTTACTTGTTAATTTAGAACAGAAAATTATGTTTAGTTTATATCAATGTAAAACCAATTACCTGTAGGTGTGTCAAATTGCAATACGATGTATAAGTTACGCGGGCTTATGATTTCTGAAATAGAAAAAAGAACATTGAATTAGATACAGCTAAAATAGTAACTTCAAATCAATGATTGATGATGACCTCAAGATAAATAAAGCGCTTTTACATACATTGGATTTGACTAATAAGCTGATCTAGCTACTAGAGGCTATTAGCTATAGAATTACCGAATTATTTAGGTTCATCTTTAAACGTATAGCTAGATCTACACATCGGCAAATGAGGGTTTTCGCGATTGAAAAATCGGCCAGATGGCAATAATACGTATACGCGAGGTCCAAATGCTGCATGATTGGTGGATTTTGACATATCTGTCAATGTCATGTCAAAAATAACCAATCATGCAGAGCATTTAGACCTCGCGTCTACGTATTGCCATCTGGCGGATTTTTCAATCGCGAAAACCCTCATTAAGTAATCAAGTCACCCGGGGCAAAAGCAACTATGAGGCTAAAGTGACTAATTGGTTTTATTCTTAATCTGATGGATTTTGAACAAAGTGTTATCTGTTGAAGCAATGATTGGTCTATGTTCAACTTACATTAGAAGATCCGGTGGATGTGGGCTGTCCCGGCACGGAGTACTGCGGGCGGAAGTTGGAGAAGTTGGCGGCGGCCGCGGCGGCCGGCGAGAACCCGGCCAGCGAGCCCGCCGCGCTGAACCCGCCCGGGAACTGAGGCATTTGCGCTGCAAATTGAACATACACGTTAAAATAGCCGTACTATAGAGTTATCTGTGTGGAAACTTGATCACGCCTTTATCAAATGTATTATTTTTAACTAGTTTCCTGTGCTGATGCGTTAGAGGCTAACTAGCACTTCAAATATCCTGTTTGTATAATATATATAAATAAAAATGAATTGATGTTCGTTAGTCTGATTAAAACTCGAGAACGGCTGGGCCGATTGAGCTGATTTTGGTTTTAAAATGTTTGTCGTAGTCCAGGGTAGGTCTAAACGGTGAGTAAATACGCGCGCGATATTGTTTTTCTGTGACAGACAAAATTCCACGCGGGCGAAGCCGCGGGCGGAAAGCTAGTATGTAATATTTTGGAGTAATCAATAGGCAGTGGTGATCGTTTATTATCAGATGCCCGAAAGTTTGCCACTTCTTATATAAAATTAAGTTTTTTACAACGATTCGACGTAACGATTGCGAATTTAAATTGCTTAGAGTCCATGTATGATACAGCAAAAGATTAGATTTTGACCAGTTTTCCAAGATAACTTTACTATACAAACAAATGGTTTGTCGTTAAATCATTTGTTTCTACTAATAGACTAAACCAAGTGCTTCCTGCGACCTTTTACAGATGTTCGCTCCACCGAGTGGACTAAGCGGGAGGCCTGCTTACACTATGAACCAATAGAATCGCTCCATCTACCTTGCCTCGGTTCTTCAACACATCCCTCGCTATCCTCGCACATCTCTGGTGGAAACGCAGCCTTCTGCTGGTGTTGTTTGTCTTTAAATTAGAATATTACTGACCGGCGGGCACGGGGTTGCCGGCGGTGGCGGCGAGGCGCGAGAGGATGGAGCGCTCGGACATCTGCAGGCGCTGCGCCACCGGCGGGATGCGCGCCAGCGTGGCCGGCAGCCGCGACACGTCCGACTTCATGTCCGACAGCAGCTCCTCCAGCTGGTTCAGCACCTGGGAACGATCATTAAGTTAGTTGTGCCCGTGAATGTGACCTTGAGAGAACATGAACCGTCCGAAGATTATTACTAAAGCCCGTAATTATGTTTCTGTCGCGCTTGCACACTCACTGCGGGTACCAGTCGCATAGTCGCGACAGCAATATAATTACGCGCGAGCGATAAGGATGGGTAGCTTGGAGTCATTGGACAAAATTCTACGTGCTCACGGACCAGACTATAGACAAGTTGTTTAGGGCCTATACATGAAGCCCGCTCCGGACGCCTGACGCGGGTCTGCATATTGATACACAGAAATGCACGCCCGCTATGTGGAAGCCTGTTGCACGCGTCGCGCTACAAAGAGCTATCATAGTATTTGCTGGATACTTTTCTTAAGAAAATGAATACACCAGTGGCGAGTCGATAGGTATTGCCACACACCCATAAGGTAATTCTCTTCCATATGGGAACATTTGACAGCACATCGGCCTATTCATTTTTGTTGCACAAACTCATATGACAACCACATAAAGTGCCGCTGTTTAGCTTGAATGTGCCGTGATCTGGACCATTAAGTGCTTAGGGTATCCAGTAAGCGAATGTCTCGTGATTGGGGTTGGGTTATGTGAGTAAGGTGAGGCGTCTATTCAGCGTCTTTCTCGTGTATTCTATGTTTGGGCACATACCTTGTGCAGCACGGCGTTGGCGGGCTTGTTGCCGGCCAGCGACTCCTTGCTGAGGTGCTGGTGCGACTCGGCGAGGCACTCGACCTCGGCGAAGCGCGCGTCGAGCGACATGGCGAGTGGCCGGCACATACCTTGTGCAGCACGGCGTTGGCGGGCTTGTTGCCGGCCAGCGACTCCTTGCTGAGGTGCTGGTGCGACTCGGCGAGGCACTCGACCTCGGCGAAGCGCGCGTCGAGCGACATGGCGAGTGGCCGGCACATACCTTGTGCAGCACGGCGTTGGCGGGCTTGTTGCCGGCCAGCGACTCCTTGCTGAGGTGCTGGTGCGACTCGGCGAGGCACTCGACCTCGGCGAAGCGCGCGTTGAGCGACATGGCGGGGTGGTTGGGGTCCTGCGTCAGGTTCAGGTACGCCGCGCGCCGCAACTGTTCTTCGATGACCAGAGCTTGTTCTAGGAGCTGGAACAAAAGCAATGATATGGTAGAGACATCGTACGTAATGTGTGGTTTATGTGGACTAGAAAATAGACACATCGTTGTTCCTTAGGGTTTCCGCGTATGAAAAATCCGCCAGATGACAATACGTAGACGCGAAGTCCAAATGCTGCATAATTGGTTATTTTTGACATGACATTGACAGATATGTCAAAATCCACCAATCACGCAGCAGTCAGACCCCACATCCACGTCCCGCCATCTAGCGAATCTTTCATTCGCAAAAACCCTCATTAGAATAAAAATCATGATGGTGAAGAGTATAGTTCTCCGTAGCCGTGTCATGACACTGGTTATAGGTCATGGCGCTGGCGCCAGTTCTACAATAGAAAGAGACTCACCTTGAACCGTCGCGCCAGGAACTTGTTCTTGATCTCGAGGAAGTTGCCTTTGCCCACGTCCATCTTGAAGGGCTCGTTGATGATTGCGAAGCGCAGATCGTTCTGTATATCCTGCCAGCGGCCATAACCGTGTGTTACAATGCCAGCTAGTAGCTGTAGTCGTGGCTTCGACGCCAGTTCTATAATAGACTCACCTTGAACCGTCGCGCCAGGAACTTGTTCTTGATCTCGAGGAAGTTGCCCTTGCCCACATCCATCTTGAAGGGCTCGTTGATGATTGCGAAGCGCAGATCGTTCTGGATGTCCTGCCAGCGGCCATAACCGTGTGTTACAATCCCAGCCAGTAGCCAGTAGTCGTGGCGCCGGTGCCAGATCTATAATAGAAAGAGACTCACCTTGAACCGTCGCGCCAGGAACTTGTTCTTGATCTCGAGGAAGTTGCCTTTGCCCACATCCATCTTGAAGGGCCCGTTGATGATTGCGAAACGGAGATCGTTCTGTATGTCCTGCCAGCGGCCATAACCATGGGTTACAATCCCAGCCAGTAGCCAGTAGTCATGGCTTCGACGCCAGTTCTACAATAGAGACTCACCTTGAACCGTCGCGCCAGGAACTTGTTCTTGATCTCGAGGAAGTTGCCTTTGCCCACATCCATCTTGAAGGGCTCGTTGATGATTGCGAAGCGCAGATCGTTCTGTATGTCCTGCCAGCGGCCATAACCATGGGTTACAATCCCAGCCAGTAGCCAGTAGTCGTGGCGCCGATGCCATATCTCGTATTCCCGACCGGGCGCGGCGGCGCGTTCTTCGTTCAGCCATAGTGTGTGTAGTTCTGTGAAGCCACCATCGGCGATGTTGAACATGAACTTGCGCCGTTCCACTTTGAGATCTTCCTCTTCTTTTACTAGGACGACGTCGTCGTCGTCTTCGTCCTGCAACGAATTAATTATCATTATTTAATAAAACGTTAAGGCTGGGATGCACCATCTTACTTTAACTTTGACAAACGTCAAACATCTGTCAAACTCCATACAAAAGACACCGGTTATCGTCATAGTTACGGTCAAAGTTAGGTGGTGTAACTCAGCCTACAGCAGTTTTGCTGACAATAGTCGACAACAAGCACAAGATTGACTTTAGAATTTAGTAAAAAACAAATATGAATTACCTTTTTCTCATCCTTCGGTTTCTCCGAAGCCTCCGACTCGGCCTTTTCGCTCTTGGCGTCGTCCTTCTTGTCTTCATCCTTGACCTCCTCCTTGAGCTTCTCGGGCTCCTTGTCGTCCTTCTTGTCGTCGGGCCGCTCGTCGTCGCCGTCCTCGTCGACGGACATGCGGCGCTCCGGCTCCTTGGCTTCCTCCTTGACTTCCCGCGGCGCCTCCTTGTCCTCGGGCCGGTCGTTAGCTTCGGCGGTGTCCATGGGCTCGTCCTTGGGCTTGTCGTCCTTGTCGGAGCCGGCGGGCGAGGCGGGGGCGGGGGTGGCGGGTGCGGCGACGGCCGGGGTGGCAGATGGGACGGGCGCCGGTGAGGGCGCGGCCGATGTGATGGGCGTGGCGGAGGACGGCGCGGGGCTGGCGGCGGCGCTCTCCGCCTTGACCGGCTCGACGGGCTTGCGCACCAGCTCGGGCATGCTGTAGTAGCCGTTGATGTGCTCGAACTCCTGCACCTTCTTGCGGATGAGGCTCATGACGCCGATGCGCGTGAGCACGTGCTGGCGCGACAGGCCCTCGCGCGGCACGCCGTCGGCGAAGGCGTCGGCGTTGTCGGCGCCCGGCTCGCACAGGTGGCGCATGAACAGCGACACGTAGGCCTTGAAGTTGCGCTCGGACTTGCCGCGCAGGTCGCGCACGAGCCACTGCGAGTTGAAGGCGTCCTGCGGCGGCATGCCGTAGCGCATGATGGCGTTGAGGAAGGACTTGCGCTGGCGCGCGTTGAAGCCGAGCACCTCCATGTTGCCGCCCACGCGCGCCAGCAGCGGCGGCAGCGGCCGGTCGCGCTCCTCGCGGCGCTCGAGGCGGCGCTTGGAGCGGCGCGAGAGCAGGTCGCCGTTGTCGTTCTTCTCGTCGAAGTCGTCGTCCTCCTTGTCGTCCTCGGAGCCCTGCGAGAAGTCGGAGTTGTAGTCGGAGCCGTTCTCCTGCCAGGTGGAGTCCTCGCGGTTCTCGGTCTGCGCGACGGAGCCGTCGTTGTAGTTGACCTGCTTGCGCACGCGCTTGCCCTTGCCGAGCGTGCGCGCCTGGTCCTCCTGGTGCTGCTCGTAGTGGTGGCGCAGCAGCTTGATCCAGTAGGCGGGGTCGCTGTTCTCGGCCTCCTGCTTGATGATCTCCGTGTCCACCTCCTCCTCGCCGTCGCCCTCCTTGGTGGAGTAGCTGGCCACCTTGAACGAGCTGAGGTACTCGTTGGCCCACGACTCCTTCTGCTCGATACCTTCCTTGGAGCGATCCAGCAGTTCGCCGACCGCTTTGTCGTCGTAGTGGATGGCCTCCTCCTTGCCCTCCTCCTCCTTGAACAGCTCCTCGGTACCGAACCTCAGGATGTCGTCCAGTTCCTGTTTCGTGAAATTTGCGCCCTTCCCTCCCATGCCGGGCCGGACGACCAAATGAGTCAACATCATCTTCCTCTTGGCCACCTGAGTCACCCTCTCCTCGACGCTGTTTCGCGTGACGAACCGGTAGATCATGACTTTGTTGGCCTGCCCGATACGATGGGCGCGGGAGAACGCCTGGATATCGTTGTGGGGATTCCAGTCGGAATCGTAGATGATTACGGTGTCGGCGGTGGCCAAGTTGATACCGAGACCGCCGGCCCTCGTCGACAGCAGAAACACGAATTGCTGGGCGCCGGGGGCGTTAAACCTATCGATGGCCTCCTGACGAATGGTACCGGTGATACCTCCGTCGATTCTTTCGTATTTGTAGCCCTCGCCCTCTAGGAAATCTTCGAGAATATCCAACATTTTTGTCATCTGAGAGAAGATCAGAACTCTGTGGCCCTGCTCCTTGAGCTGTTTCAACATTTTCGACATGAGCACTAGTTTTCCCGATGCTTTGATCAGCGCTTGGGTATCGTAGTTTCCGTGGGGCCCCAAAGGCGCTTCCTCTGCGGCTACAGGGAAGAGATACGGGTGGTTGCAGCACTTCTTGAGGTCCATCATGACGTTGAGCAGCGACACGGTCTGGCCGCCGCTCTTGGGGTTGAGCGCCTCGTAGTTGCGCGTGAGGATGTACTTGTAGTACTTCTTCTGCATGGGCGACAGCTCCACGCGCACGATGAACTCGGACTTGGTGGGCATGTTCTTGAGCACGTCGGCCTTGAGGCGGCGCAGCATATGCGGCCCCAGCATTTCGTGCAGCCGCTTGACCTGCTCCTCCTTGGACACGTCGGCGAATTCGTTCTGGAAGGCGGCGAGGTCGTTGAACTTGTCCTTGTTGAGGAAGTTGAGCAGGTGGAACAGCTCCTCCAGGTTGTTCTGCAGCGGCGTGCCGGTCAGCAGCAGCTTGTAGTTGATGTGGTAGCCGGCCAGCAGGCGGAAGAACTTGGACTGGTTGCTCTTGAGCCGGTGCGCCTCGTCGACGACCAGCACGGCCCACTCGATGGAGCCGAGGCACGTGGCGTCGATGGACACGAGCTCGTAGGAGGTGAGCAGCACGTTGAACTTGACCTGCGACTTGATCTTGGAGGGGCGGCCGCCGCGGTTGGCGCCGTCGTCGAAGGTGAGCTCGTTCTCGCGGATGACGGCGCGCGAGTCCTTGTCGCCGACGTAGGTGATGCAGTACAGGTCGGGCGCCCACAGCTCGAACTCGCGCTCCCAGTTGATGATGGTGGACAGCGGCACGGACACGAGGAAGGGGCCCTTGCAGTGGCCCTCCTTGAACAGCGAGTAGAGGAAGGTGACGGTCTGGATGGTCTTGCCGAGCCCCATCTCGTCGGCGAGGATGGTGTCGATGCCCTGCCCCCAGGAGTAGCGCAGCCAGTTGAGCCCCTCGAGCTGGTAGGGATGCAGCTGCATGCCGGTCTCGTACACGAAGGGCGGCTGGTCCTCGTACTTCTTGTTGAGGTTGGAGGAGGGCCGCTCGGGCGGCGGGTTGTACTTCTTGGGCTTGGGCTGCAGGCCGCCGCTGTTCTCGTCGTCGTCGATCACGTCCTTGTTCTTGCTCTTGCGGCCGGGCTTCTTGCCCTTGCTACCTTTCGACTTGCCTTCCGAAGTGATGAAGGCACGCATATCCTGCGGAAAAAACATAGAGGATATTAAGTTTTAGGGCTGATTTTTCAATCGTCAGATAACTTTTGTCTGAAGAATAAACTTGTCATTTTGACATATTTCCCAAGCTGAAACTGTCAATGTGTCAACTTATTCTTCGGTTAAAAGTTATCTAACGATTGAAAAATCAGCCCTTAACCAGATAAAGGTTCTGAAATATATTTGTGGTATGTATCTGGAACTGGGTCTTGAATATTTGGGAATGTTGGAGGTTAAGTTAGGTTCATAAGTTTTAAGTAATCTCATTGCTATTTCTTGCTTATAATCCGGAACCGTCAAGGACATTCTCCCATTTTTAGAAGGATATCACACCTGATAATACTCGATGGCTGCTTTGAGGCCGGCGATGTCCTCGTGCTCGGCCTCCCAGGTGGCCTGGTCGTAGGACAGGTCGCGCCACTTCACCAGGTAGTACGTGGTGCCGTCGCGGCCCGTGCGGTGGTTGATGACGCGGTGCACCACCAGCCACTCGGGTTTTACGCCGTATCTGGAAGGAAAATGATCCTTCAGTACACGAGAATAAGGTGCTTAATAGATTTTTAATGTCATAACACTGTATACAATCTACGTTATGGTAATAAATAGGTTGACACACAATTTGAAAGCCTAAAAACATAGAGACACAGTAAACTACTCGCATGACGTATCCCAATTCAGCAATTTATTGTGTCTCAAATCTCAATATTATACATACGTACACAATATATACGACCACGGATCAAGTGTTTCGGCTTTGAATGTAGAGTCTACATCGTAGACCGACACGCACTCTGTTTGACGGCATACAAGGATAAGTGACCTTTACTCATCTTATACGCTGCCTGAACGTTAACTTATAGGTTAAAATGATCAATCATAACTCAGCCTCCTCATGATGCCTCAGCATGATGTTGGTATAAAACACACTACTACGCGCTCGCACACTCACTGCGATGCGGGCGCCCGTCGCACAGTCGCGACAGCAATATAATTACGCGCGAGCGATAAGGATGGGTAGCTTGGGGTCATTGGACAAAATTCTACGTGCTCCCGGACCAGACTATAGTTTGATCATCACCCGGATTTCAGTACTGTTATTTTTACCTGTAATACTTCTCCTCCAGTAACTTCTCGTCCATGTACTGGTCCTGCTGCTTCTGGTCCTTGAGGCGCTTGGCGCGGGTGTCGCGCTCGTCCAGAGGCTCCTCCAGCTTGGGCGGCTCCTCGGGGTCCGACTTGCGCATGTAGTACCGGTACATGAGCGGGTGGAACACGTCCAGCTAGGAAAAAAACAAAGAAGTATGTTAAAATATAATATGAACAGTAGGTACTACCAGGCCTGTTCATCTCCGCGAGTTTACATCGAAAACAAAACACACACGATGGCCCACCTACAGGATACTATTCGACAATAATAATAAATAATAATATATTTATTTATTTTCTCCCATACAAAACAAGCTTAATACTAACATTAATAAATACTTAAGTATATTTATACATAGATATGCTATAATGTTGTATATGGGAGACTGGTACCCAAACTAGGAAAGACCTGTCTTGGGCTACCAGGCTTCATCCCTACCAAGTAACAAAGAAAGAAATATGTATACCTGCATTAGCAAGTCTGCGATATAATGCGTGCCTAAAACAAAATAAAAATTTCAAAAAAAAAATGTCCATTAGAAATTTCACATAATAGTATGTGTGTGAGTGTGAGTGTGATATTGTGTGTGAGCGTGATATTGTGTTAGTGTGATATTGTGTGTGAGTGTGATATTGAATGTGAGTGTGAAATTGTGTGTGAGTGTATAATTATTATGTGCGAGTGTATTTGCTGAGTATGAATGATTCATTTATTTAGCAATTAATTTCTCCAAGGCCTCACATACGAGCGAACATTGACTCACGCACGCGTATTCTTGTGTATGATGGAAGAAAATAAAGAAAATGCTGTACTAAATACTGTGCAGTATTTAACTGCCTAAATAATATAATAAAAACACAGAATGTACTTTTTTAAGTTGCCTCAAGACACTGATAGGTAAATAAGTAGTTAATATTATTCATGATAATTCATGCTAAATCATGTATTTCCTCCTTATTTTGGCACCTCAAGGCACATCATTTTACCGAAGTCAGCCCTATAGCTTCGGCGCAGTGCCGATCACTGACGTTTGTCAATAAAATGGTGCTTGACTCTTGAGACAGGCTAAATTACACCATATTGTTAATGACATTGAGCATACATTTTTTTAAATACCTTCGCGAAGTAAATCTTCTGTACGTAGTACTTATTATTATTCTGTGGTACTACTATCATATGGTTCTAAGGGCCTTGCCACACTGGCGGATAGCAAGCGTTTTTTGGGAGGAGCAGTTGCGCGACGCGGTACGTCGCGTGTCCGCGGCTAACACGCCCCAGCATTTTGGCAACCGCGAGGTGCCCGCCGCTCCGCTTGCAATCCGCCAGTGTGGTAAGGCCGTAAGCTTCCTTCATGTGAGATACATGAGCGTTTCATCTAGATGCTATCTTTCCTTTTTTTTCCTTCCGGTATCTGCCCTTTTATCACGTGAATTACATCTTTACTCTTAAAAAAAATTGTGATTTGTACTGAATTTTATTGCTTTTGGACCAACGTGTCTTGCAGCAGTATATTATATCATAAATAAACTAGAAAATACATGATAAATATCCATTCACATAGGCACGAGATGTATCACGGAACGTGTAACAATTGTTTGAAACCGCAAAGGTTCAACATACCTGTATCCATAGCTCACATCTAAGTCTGCAGGCACGAAACTGGCGACGGCCGAACGATGGGCAACGCGACGCTAGGAAGAGTATTGCGATCGCCCCGACCGTTTAGTGCGCGTCACCTAAGCATTTGATGCCAGAGAATGCAGCTGTACGCACCTGCAGTTCCGATATCCAGCTGCAGTGCCAGTAGGAGCGCTCGTGCCACTTGACGAAGAACTCGCGGCTGCGCGGCGCCTTGGACTTGGCCGCCTGCTCCTTCCAGCCCGCGTCAGTATCATAGCTCGCAGCTTCAGTGTCTCGTGCTAGAGGATGCAGCTGTACGCACCTGCAGTTCCGATATCCAGCTGCAGTGCCAGTAGGAGCGCTCGTGCCACTTGACGAAGAACTCGCGGCTGCGCGGCGCCTTGGACTTGGCCGCCTGCTCCTTCCAGCCCGCGTCAGTATCATAGCTCGCAGCTTCAGTGTCTCGTGCTAGAGGATGCAGCTGTACGCACCTGCAGTTCCGATATCCAGCTGCAGTGCCAGTAGGAGCGCTCGTGCCACTTGACGAAGAACTCGCGGCTGCGCGGCGCCTTGGACTTGGCCGCCTGCTCCTTCCAGCCCGCGTCAGTATCATAGCTCGCAGCTTCAGTGTCTCGTGCTAGAGGATGCAGCTGTACGCACCTGCAGTTCCGATATCCAGCTGCAGTGCCAGTAGGAGCGCTCGTGCCACTTGACGAAGAACTCGCGGCTGCGCGGCGCCTTGGACTTGGCCGCCTGCTCCTTCCAGCGCCACGTCAGGATCTTCGCCACCTTGCCGTCTAGAGGCGGACACTGCAACGACAAAGAAAAATAGTTTTAAACCTTATAGCCTCGTTTGGTAAGGTACTTGACGGTGCACTGTAGCAGACGAGGCGAAGAAAATCGGCAAGACCTGGAGCGTCATCAAACGCGCAGCTCAAGACCGAACGCGATGGAGGACTGTTGTGGACGCCCTCTTCCCCATTTAGGGGACATAGGACCTTAAGTCAAACCTCGTTTTAGGGTTCAAAATAAAGGGTAAGGTTCGAACCCAGTGGTTCAGTGGAGTGGTTAATAAAATGAATTGGCTAGTAGCTCTCTTGTACATAGTATCGTATATTATATCCAGTCTGTAAGAATATGTGGCGTTTAGTAGCACAGCATTTTTTCAGCAGATAACATTGTGATCACTTGCCCAGTCTCTTTCCATAGTTCACTGCTCAGTCACTAGCTACTAGTAACAAAATTTCTACCAAAACATTAAGGTACAAAAAAACATTAAAAAAAATATATCCTTGGACATTTTACACTACGCTTCTAGTCCCAAACTAAGCAAAGCTTGTACTATGGGTACTAGACAACGGATATAAACATACTTGAATACACGACAAGCCGGAAAGTAAGTACTTACACTACATCGAGGACACTTCCACTCCCCGTCAGGTACTTCTTCAAGCGGTGGGTTGAGGCAGAACCGATGGTACGCGGACGGGCAAGAGTCGCAGCACAGCAGTTCGCCGCCATCTTTGCAAATTCTGTAACAATAAATTTTCCTCTTTTAAATTGTATTCGGATATATTAATTTAAAGTACATATGTATGTGGTTTTAACTGGGATGCGTGAGAAGCATAACTGAGCACTGCAAGATCGAGGTTACATACTAAGCGTACGCGGAGCGTATACGACAAAATAGCCAGTAAGGCTATGGCGGGTGACTCTGTCGAGAGAGCCCTAAAGCAAAGTAAGCAGACCTTCAGTTAGATATGCCGTTTACAGTTTTATATGTACATAGTTTGCTAATTTTTTATCATACAAGAATGAGAAGTCTGCAATATTTTTTTGCACAGCGTGTAACATCCACCCACAAGGTGGACCGACGGCATCGTAAAAGTAGCAGGTTGGCGCTGGACGCAGACTGCTACCAACCGGGCAACATGGAAAGCAGTGGGGGAGGGCTATGTTCAGTAGTGGACGTCTTATGGCTGAGATAATGATGATGTGTCAATAAAGTTTTTTCTATCTTATATCTAGCTAATCTACCTTAAAGGTTTAAAACATTTGTTTGTCACCTGTCATCCGTTTTGCAATGGAGGGAAGTCGAACCTCAATTTCGAACTCCTCCTATATTCTTCTGATTAATTTCGTTGCGGGTCCAATGACAGTTTAACTTTCCCCCGGGACAAAATTGACCTTCATTGGTTGGGTTTTTGTGGCGTTCAAGCTGTAGATCCTGGCTATACAGGAGTTGCAGTGATGGGAACGAGAGGTGGGAAAAGTCCCGTTTATATCTAAAGCCTGTTCCGTGAACACGTAGAATCCCATCCAATGACCCCAAGCTGCCCATCCTTGTCGCTCGCGCGTAATTATATTGCTGTCGCGACTGTGTGACGCGCGCCCGCAGTGAATGTGCGAGCGCGACAGCAACATAATTACGCGCGAGCGATAAGGATGGGTAGCTTGGGGTCATTGGACGGGATTCTACGTGCTCGCAGACCAGGTTTTACCTGCAGAACTCCTGGTGCTCGTCGTCGTCGTCCTGGTCCTGGTTGCCCTCGGCCTCGCAGTGCGGGCACGACCAGCGGCCCTCGGGCGTCTCCTCCAACTCGGGCTCCAGACAGACCAGATGGTACGCGCGCGGGCACGTGTCGCACAGGATGATCTCGCCGCCTTGCTGGCACACCTGGAGATAAACAAGTGTTTAAACCCTTGAAAAAGAGGCTGACAACAGTGACTAAGTTTCTTGCGCTGCTTCTTCTCAGCACTGGCCCATTTATTGTCCCAACGCAGTGGTAGCCTAATTGCCATGGAGTTTTAATGAGTTTACATGTTATGTTGGCTTAAGGCCGCTAAGAGGATCGTCTGCAATCGGCATGATCTACGTGTGAAAAACGTTACACTCTAGTTGAACTCTGATTTAAATGTTCATTTAGTACGAAAATGACATTTTAATCCAGTATTTATCACGGGTGTAACTTTTTTTATTAATAAGGGCAGGCCTGTTCATCTCCGCGAGTTTACATCGAAAACAAAACACGCACGATGGCCCACCTACAGGATACTATTCGTAAGGCCTCACATACGAGCGAACATTGACTCACGCACGCGTATTCTTGTGTATGATGGAAGAAAATAAAGTAAATGGTGTACTAAATACTGTGCACTATTTAACTGCCTAAATAATAATAAAAACACAGAATGTACTTTTTTAAGTTGCCTCAAGACACTGAGAGGTAAATAAGTAGTTAATATTATTCATTATAATTCATGCTAAATCATGTATTTCCTCCGCCATTTTCCGCAGTTTGGCACCTCACGTCACATCATTTTACCGAAGTCAGCCCTATAGCTTCGGCGCAGTGCCGATCACTGACGTTTGTCAACAAAATGGTGCTGAACTCTTGAGACAGGCTAAATTACACCATATTGTTAATGACATTGAGCATACATTTTTTAAAATACCTTCGTGAAGTAAAACTTCTGTACGTAGTATCAGGCCTGTTCATCTCCGCGAGTTTACATCGAAAACAAAACACGCACGATGGCCCACCTACAGGATACTATTCGACAAGGCCTCACATACGAGCGAACATTGACTCACGCACGCGTATTCTTGTGTATGATGGAAGAAAATGGTGTACTAAATACTGTGCAGTATTTAACTGCCTAAATAATAATAAAAACACAGAATGTACTTTTTTAAGTTGCCTCAAAACACAGAGGTAAATGAGTAGTTAATATTATTCATGATAATTCATGCTAAATTATGTATTTCCTCCGTCCGCCATTCTTCGCAGTTTGGCACCTCACGTCACATCATTTTACCGAAGTTGCCCTATAGCTTCGGCGCAGTGCCGATCACTGACGTTTGTCAACAAAATGGTGCTTAACTCTTGAGACAGGCTAAATTACACCATATTGTTAATGACATTGAGCATACATTTTTTTAAATACCTTCTCGAAGTAAAACTTCTGTACGTAGTACTTATTATTATTCTGTGGTAGTATCTATTATTATTCTGTGATAAGGGGGTTTAGTTCCAAAGTCTTCTAACCTCGCAATAGTCTTGGTGTTCCTGCTCGCCCTCAGCGCCGTCAGGGAACTTATTTGTCGTCTTCAATTTCTTCTTCTTCTTGCTCTTATTGCCAATCTTTGTCTTTGCCTTCTTTTTAGGTTGTTGCTGAAAAATCAAAAATATAATTATTGTAAGTTATCTCTTTAGGGTAGGCCTTTGACCAGCAGTGGACGTCACTTGGCTGAAAGGAACGAACGAGCGGCAATGGATGCGAAATCTTTTAGGAGCAAACTAGGCCCAGAATGCTGTCTAAGTGTAAAGTGTACATTGTGATCCGTTTATTTATTTATTTATATTAGGAAGACCAGGGTTTACATAATTGATTATTTTACAATTAATAACATTAAAAGTGCGACTTGCTCACAAGCAAGGCAAACTACAGTGATTTATATTTTAATGTTATCAAATTAATAAGATATCTATGGAGTCTATTGTAAATATTTAATATCACCTTTATTTCTTATTTAGGTTCATTTCGTCTTACCGGCGCGTTGGGGTCTTCATCACGAGGCGGCGGGGCGTCGTCAGCTGCGGGTGGCTTGGGCTCCTCGGCCTCCGCTAGCATCTGCTCGAACTCCGCGTCCGAGTCTGTGTTCGCGCCAGGACTGCCTTCTTGCTCCTCCTCCTGGGGGAATAGTCACTATTTATTTCTGTATGGATAAGGGCGTACGCGGAACAGAAGTCATGAAAAGCGGGCAGCCCGCATGCAGATTAGATCCGCACGAGTGCTAAAATCCGCATCAAAGGAAAAAGGCACTAAGAACATTATGACAAGCTTACAAACTAATAATTTTGCGAGTAGTGTATTGGAACTTTATAGATGTGAGCTTTGAATTTCAGCTAACTTCTTGGACCTTCTACGTTGACAAACGTCGAATCGAGTAATGTTAGGGACTAAATGTACGATTTCGTAGTCGACCCAGCAGCAGACTACGTGTCCATAACGCTATTAGTTTGTGTATTTCTATGAAATACAATACCTATAACCTGTGGTTAGCAACACATCGTTCGAATATCACCGTTAAATCTTACGCAGGTGTACGGAGTAAGTGCCCGCTCCAGTTAACCGACGAGCGTCTGCATCCGTGGCGAGCAATGAGGGCTATCGTTTTAGCGCTCACCAGTTGGCGCCACTGTAGAGTAAGGTCCTGTCACTTGCTAGTAGCGAAGACAGTGGCGCCGACTGGTGAGCGCTAAATTGGTAGGAGGACTATCGCATTTGCACTCATTCAGATGGCGCCACTGTAGAGTAAGGTCCTGTCAATCGCCAGGGGTGCCAACTGTTAAGTATAAAAACGATAGCCCTCAATTTAATGCACAACTCGGGTAAATACCACGCCGCGCGCGTGGAAACCCGTCTCACGCGTCCACGCCACATTGCGCTGCCATACTAAGCTACCCATCCTTATCGCTCGCGCGTAATTATATTGCTGTCGCGACTGTGAGACAGGCGCAATAATATAATTACGCGCGAGCGATAAGGATGGGTAGCTTGGGGTCATTGGACAAAATTCTATGTGCTCCCGGACCAGACTATAGAGTACTCACGCTGCTGGTGCGCTTGCGCTTGCTGAACTTGATCTTGAGCGTGGGCACCTTGGGCTTGCGGCCGGGCTTGCCGCGCGCCGCGCCCGCGTGCTTGGGCTTGCGGCCGCGCTTGCGGGGCGCGGGCGTGCCCTCGTCGGACGCTTCTTCCTCTTCCTCTTCCTCCGCTTCTTCTACTGCCTCCTCGTTCTGGTTGATGATACATTGATTAAGGAGTGATGCTGAAGTGAGCTTAAGTTACAAGTGCTGTTGACTTCTTAGTGCGTTTAAATGCGGCGGCAGCGGAACCGCTAGCGTTTCTTGGATTTTTATAAGGTCCTACACTACACCGCCGTGTTTTATAACGCCGCCGCACAGTGGTCCCGATTTAATAAAACATGGACATTGATGCTAGAGGCACGAAAATTTTTTTGATGGTTACTGCTATGATAACTAATAAGGCAAAAAAATATTACAATCCTACGACGTCTATTTCGTAGTAAAAAAAAATATATACATATTTTTTGTATGGAAGAAATTACGTTTCTGTCAATTTTTCGAAATTCTTTAACGATGTCAAGATGCCGATCACACATGTTATAAAACAAGTGATTCAGAGTATTTCATGCGAAGATACTTGTCACTTATCTCTGCGTACTTTTGAGTTATCGAGGGTTGAAAAATCGATTTTTTTATATTAAATATTTCCACGAAAAATTGCCAAAATTACAATATGGTGTATAAGGGACACCTTTGATGACACATAACAACGACTCGCACTCGCGCGCGCTCGTATGCATCAGCTTTTAATAAAATAAAAAAAAAAATTAAGGGAAATACTTAATACAACGTTGTATGTATAGGTCCGCTGGCCGTCAAAAAGTAGCTTATACGAGAGGTTGCCCAATTTACAATATGTCCATCATTGATAACTCACACAAATATCGTCTCTCTCTGAAGGATAACAAGTTTTTTTTGTTTCCAGAAGCTCTTGATAGGATGGAAGCCCATAAATACTCTCTGAAGCGAGAATGAATCTCAAATTGCGATATTGCCATTTTGACAAATTACATGATGTAACTAGCGCTAACGTTTATCTTCAGGTAGACACAGTTTTAAGTTAAAAGATTGTCTACTATTTCACACTGTTCTTCGTTTTGGAACAGTTCTTTGATTATAGGTAGTCGCTAATTTCGTTTTGTTAGACTCTTTCAGTTTAGCACATAAAGCGTAAACTAATTCCTCCTCAGAATGATCTAAAAGTGTTAGAGAGCGCCTCTTCTTCTGCAGAAGAAGAATTTTGCATAAATCTTCAAAAGGTTTTTTATTTATACCAGAAGTCGATGGTTGCACATCTACTTCCGCAGTCTCATCAACTGGAGCGTCTTCCTCGGTGTTAACGTTGTCTATGCGTTGTGTTAACTCGGTAAAAGAACATTTTTTAAATCTATATTTTTACATTTCGGCCAGACCATTTCAGACTAAAATGACGAACGTATTGGCATTGAATTGTCTTCCGAAGATTTGAGTAATTATCAAATCATTAAGTCGTAATTTTACAAGAAATATATCAAAGAAGATATGGTCTGCTTCCAGTAGAGCCCAAAAGACATTTTTGCACCAGAATTCGCATTGGCTAGACTCTGAAATTGTCTGGCCGAATTGTAAAAATATAGATTTAAACAATGTTTTTTACCGAGTTAACACAACGCATAGACAACGTTAATACTGAGGAAGACGCTCCAGTTGATGAGACTGCGGAAGTAGATGTGCAACCATCGACTTTTAGTATAAATAAAAAACCTTTTGAAGATTTATGCAAAATTCTTCTTCTGCAGAAGAAGAGGCGCTCTCTAACACTTTTAGATCATTCTGAGGAGGAATTAGTTTACGCTTTATGTGCTAAACTGAAAGAGTCTAACAAAACGAAATTAGCGACTACCTATAATCAAAGAACTGTTCCAAAACGAAGAACAGTGTGAAATAGTAGACAATCTTTTAACTTAAAACTGTGTCTACCTGAAGATAAACGTTAGCGCTAGTTACATCATGTAATTTGTCAAAATGGCAATATCGCAATTTGAGATTCATTCTCGCTTCAGAGAGTATTTATGGGCTTCCATCCTATCAAGAGCTTCTGGAAACAAAAAAAAACTTGTTATCCTTCAGAGAGAGACGATATTTGTGTGAGTTATCAATGATGGACATATTGTAAATTGGGCAACCTCTCGTATAAGCTACTTTTTGACGGCCAGCGGACCTATACATACAACTTTGTATTAAGTATTTCCCTTAATTTTTAATTTATTTTAGTAAAAGTTGATGCATACGAGCGCGCGCGAGTGCGAGTCGTTGTTATGTGTCATCAAAAGTGTCCCTTATACACCATATTGTAATTCTGGCAATTTTTCGTGGAAATATTTAATATAAAAAAATCGATTTTTCAACCCTCGATAACTCAAAAGTACGCAGAGATAAGTGACAAGTATCTTCGCATGAAATACTCAGAATCACTTGTTTTATAACATGTGTGATCGGCATCTTGACATCGTTAAAGAATTTCGAAAAATTGACAGAAACGTAATTTCTTCCATACAAAAAATATGATATATATTTTTGTTTACTACGAAATAGACGTCGTAGGATTGTAATATTTTTTTGCCTTATTAGTTATCATAGCAGTAACCATCAAAAAAATTTTCGTGCTTCTAGCATCAATGTCCATGTTTTATTAAATCGGAACCACCGTGCGCCGCCGCGCCATAGCGTGTAAGCACGCTAAGACTTTCGATTTAAAAGTGTTAGTATTGAATATTCATCATCATCATTATCATCATTTCAGCCATAGGACGTCCACTGCTGAACGTAGGCCTTCCCCAATGCTTTCCATGTTGATCGATTGGTAGCGGCCTGCATCCAGCGCTTCCCTGCTACCTTTACGATGTCGTCGTATTGAATATTACTTAATATTAAAGAGTTAACATTAGTCTTGAAGGAAACCTTTTACTGGCAGATTATTAAAATCCCATGGATGGATGTAATTAACACCCATATTTTAATAAGTCGTGAATTATTGACTAAAATAAAAAAAATACACAGGATTCCCAAATCCACTAATAGTACACAAGTATGAAGTTCCCAAAATTATGTCAAGACATAAATCTGACTCACAGCATCATCACCACTTGATTTTCCTGTTCCACTGTTTAATTAACAAACAAGTAAAATGGCAATGAATAATAATTTCACGTTACCTTGGACTCCTTAAGCGTGCGAGCCGGGCGCGACTTCGGCGCGTAGTCCGAGCCAGTGGATGTGTTTGTATTCTCTTCGGAGCCGATGTTCTGCGAGCCGCCGCCGAGGTTCGGGTTGGTCTCGCAGAATAGCCGCCACTTGGCCGCTACCAGCATCATCAGCTTTGAAACTGGGACCTGATAAGGGAAGATAAACATTAGCTTGGTGCCCATTAGCCAAATTATTTTTTCTGCTTAGCCCGATATTAAACTGGCAAAGAATGCCTTTACAGCATTAAGTTCGCCTTATTATGTGGCAGTGCGGGAGGAATGGCGACGGATTGTAAGGCTTGTCACCGGACCGGGTGTAACGACCACTCTGGCAAGAGTGTGGCGACGAAGAAGAAGAATTATGTGGCATTAAAACTTAAATAGATAAATAATTCTAGAAAGTTAAAAACTTAGAACATAGAAAATAGTCATGAGCTGGCAACAACATTTAGATCAGTCAAAATAATTAACTTTAAAAAAAAATAAAACCGACTTCAAATGCGTGAACACAAAAAAAAAACTAAAAATTAAAAATATTGCGTATAAAAAAGTTCATCCCCAATTTTCCACCATTGGGGGTGAAATATTTTCTTCAAATTCGCATGAAACCACCCTTTTGATAATACCTATTCAACAAAAAAATTATCGTTCAAATTGATTTATAATCGGCGGAGATATCTATATATATAAAAGAAAGTCGTGTTAGTTACTTCGCTTATAACTCAAGAACGGCTGAACCGATTTAGCTGAAAATTGTCAGGGAGGTAGTTTATAGCCAGGAAAAGGACATAGGATACTTTTTATCCCGTTCGAAATAAAAAAAAGTCTGCTTATTTATTTCCATTAGGGCGGAACAAAGTTCGCCGGGTCAGCTAGTTGCGTATAAAAAAGTTCATCCCCAATTATCCACCCTTGGGGGTTGTTTTTTCTATTATTAAATTTAAATGGGACCACACTTGAGGTATTACCTATACGCCGAAAAAAGATTTGTTCAAATCGGTTCATAATTGGCGGAGTTATCGCGTAACAAACATAGAAGAAAAAAACATACGGGTCGAATTGAGAACCTCCTCCTTTTTTGAAGTCGGTTGATAAAGCATCTTAGAAATCTTGCATTCTTTCTAGGATAAAGTAGACAAATTTCAATCAACTATTCAATTCAATCTAGGTTTCTGGGTTGTTTTACTTGTTTTGAAATAATAAATGAAATCTTTTATCAAAATAAAAATTGATTGAAAACAACACTTGATCTTTATGAAGATACTGATACTTACTTTGGGATTTTCCTTCACGAGCATGGGGCGCACGTGTTGCTGGAATAACTTGTATGACGTCAAATTTTCAAAGTCAGCATCAGTGTACTGAATGTCTACATCTGAGAGGCCAAATGAGGAACACACTTCCTCAACTGTGGGCATTCCTGTGAACAAATTATGATATTGTTTAGATTTATCCTATTGCAAAGTTTATTGTAGTGGAAAACATGAAAATCAATTTTTTCCTTCTATAGATAATGGAGTGACGAGTGACCTTGCACTTATCTAAATGACTGTATTTCATTGAACTGTATGGTGCTGTTTGGTGAGCTGTTACCCACAGTAATTAAAGTAAAATTTAGAAACATACAGCCTATTTGATACATGCAGCTTAAAATTAAGTGGGTAATACATTGGCCTTTAAAGTTTTTAAAGCTAGTTTTTACAGTCAATGTTGAAAAGGAGACAGATGTGAAACATAACTGGGCTAAAATAATATTTATAGACATGAACAAATTTTGTTCAAGTGATAAGTACTGATGAACAAATTCGCGTCCTGTCATTGGTTGCGGCGATCTATGCACGTGCAGTGATCGCCATCGCTGACGCGAGCTGGTATGGCCGAAGCTTTAACTCACCAGATCCCGAGTCAGAAGCTACGGGCGTGGCGGGCGCAGCGTGTTTGCTGCCGCGGCCCTTGCGCGACTTCTTGCTGCTCGACATGGCGCTAAGAGCATAATCGCTGTCGCCCTCCGCCTCGATCTCCAGGCCGAACTCCTCGTCCTACGCAACAAACATTATTCAGGGCTGATTTTGACATATTTTCCATACTGAAACTGTCAATGTACCAAAACTTTTCTTCAGTTAAAAGTTATCAAGCAATTGAAAAATCAGTCCTAGGGTATTGTTAATATCTTGCAGATTTCATCACGAACGCGGAACTGCATGACACACGCAAGTTGTCCTTTTCATACAAGTATTTCTATTTATTCTTCTTCTTGTCGTGTCAACAACAAACCTACGTAAATACCTAATTATTTATTGTAATGCGTGGAATACGCACGCGGGACGCGGGATCCTGAACAATAGCAACGCGTGCGTGTGCGCTTCCATGAGTTCTATTAAACCTAAAACTTGTGTGAATTTACTGTCATGCGGAGTGCACGCATGGAGGAAATTTTCTGCGTGCGGGTAATCCCGTGTTTTAAAACACCCTTAAATATAAGTGAAAGGAAACATATCAAAGTGACTTGAGTTGAGTATAATCAAACTATCCTAAATTTCATACTACTTTTCGTACTCATTTTCGTAAAGTGGATATCACAGCACAGATGCAAATTCTGTAGTTGTGGAACTGCCTATTCAAAAATTCAAAGCACATTTTAAAAGTACCGTAATGAACAAGGACTACTGTAAAATTTATAAATACTATAGGAACAATAGCAATGTTTGGAATATTATAAATGCATAACTATGACTGACTATACTGAGATGTGTAAGTGCTTATAAAAACTTGCTTACACAGTTTTATTTTAGTCCTAATTATGTACAATGTGCAGTGAATGCATTTTACATGATGTATGTGCATGCTTTATCAATTTCAATTCAATAACCATATCATAGAACATTCAACAAATAAAATGGTGCATGTTCCAAATCACATGGCATTATTCCACCTTACACTTTAGATTCATTCGGTTTAAGAAAATTATAAATAAAGAAATATTATCTCTTCTTTCCAAATTATTTCTTTAGTGTCAATAAACTGCAAACTCAGATTCTGCTCTCAATTAATGTCTTCTATAATGTTTCATCTGCTGGGAAATGAATATTGTGATAACACATATCTTAGATGATTCAGGATAAGTGAACAGATAACATTTATTATCATGATTGTGTATCTTCCTTCCACTAGCTGTGTGTATTTAATAATTCATATATCATTTGGTGGGTTGATCATTTATCCTTTTTAGATGTTTCATAGCTAAACAACTCAATAACTTTTTATGGTATCTTTTCGGCTTATCAACAATACCTATAGAAGTTTCTTTTTGCAAGTAGGCTTTTAAAGTGTTTTTACATTTCCCTGTATTACTTTAACCCTACCACTGCAAAACTATGTAATAAAAATTGCTACTTACATCTTCACTCTCATTCTTTCGCTTCTTTTTTTTCTTTCTACCTTTTTTCTCTTCACTGCGGGCTTTTCTCTTTTTGCCTTTTTTCTTCTTCCTTGCATCTTCTGGTGAATAATCTTCATCCTCCTACAAATGTATCAGTGTTAAAAATAAACTAATAAAAACTCCAGACAGAAATCTGAATTTCTAATACACCAAATGAAGTTGAAGTTCACCATTGAATTGTAAATCATGCATCACAATGAAGGAAAACTGGTGGCAATTAATAATATGGAATCCAGGTGGCCATACCTTTGGGGGTGCTTCATCACTCTCACCAGAGTTTTCATTCTGACCCTCGCCTTCCTCCACGTCCTCGTCACCTGCAAGTGCACAAACTGGTCAGACCACTCCCGCCGAGCCCCACGCCTGCCCCTGCCCTACGGACCCCTCGGAACCAGCATTTCATTAAACACGCGCACTCCTCGCGGTAAGGTCACTAATCCCTTTGTTTGGCGGCGTCCATTTTGTTAAGTGGTAATGAGGGATATTGCATGTTCTTTTCTGTCACTGGCTGCCACATAAAAATATTTACAACCAAGCAACAACAAATACGCCATTGAAACACTCACAAACACGTTCTTTGGCAGTAGGAGGTTATTGTCGATGTACATCAGATCACCAGTTTCATTTTGAATCTCCAAATTTTCTCAATTTTAATTGCATACACCGCAAGTAAACACATGATACCGCTATTCGCGGCTTACCTATGACATGCTAGCTAAATAGACCGTTTACCTGCAAAAGAGCCGTCTACTTCTTCGTCAGAAGCCATTTGGAACACTATTTAACACAACCTGGAATAAGATTATAGATTTTGGTCCAGAAAAGATAAAGGACGCGCAGTTTTTGCGACAAATGGTAATTAATTCAGAAATTGATGCCGCCGTCACCGAGAACTAGAAGGATTTGCTGTCTCTTTCATGCATATTGATAGTAGAAAAATAAAAAACTAAATATTGGGGTGACCAGCATAAAAATCCAATTCACCACTCTTAGAAAATTTCTACCACACTGAGCTCCATATAGCTCAAAAACCGGTTTCTATATTTTTGTCTGGTACATCCCTATTCGTCCAAAGACAGTAGGGACAAGAACATTTTTGTGCCTGAGAATTTTTGGAACTAAAGTTTGTGGCCAATAGAAATAGGATACGTAACCTAATGACCAATAGAAACTACTGAAGTTTTTTTATTTTATTTATTGTGCCTTATGCACAAGGGTCGTAGCACTACTACACAACTGTCAAAATAATTTGTCTGTGGTTCTTAAAACTCGAAGCGAAAGCAAGCTTTCTTCCTCTCGTTTTCCAAAATATCGATTAAAATTAAGCATTTTCATCTTAGTTATCAACCATGAATGCTTTATTAGACTATGGATCTTCGTCTTCAAGTGACTCAGAACAAGAGCAAGATGAAACGTGGGCTTTATTTAATATTTCGCAATGTTTAGGTTCATTGGCTTTTCTTCTTGTTTTAAACTAGTGTTTTATTATTTACAGAATCAACAACGATAAGCCAAAGTTGCCCAAGCCAGCGCTTGGAGAAAGTGCGCTTCAAACTTCGGTATTTTCTAATCCTTTCGTGGAAGCAGAGTTAGCAAAGGCTGCAATACTTGAGAAGCACGTCAAAATGGTACATGTTGACTTTCTATCAACTCTACTTTAACATATTTTTATATCTACCTACTAAAATATTATATATTACTATTATCACTAAGTTAACGTTCAATTAAACTGCTTTACACTCTGAACTTTATTTAATAAAGTAACCTCTCAAGTGTTACTGACCTCTAAAATGAAATTACACTTACATTCATTATCTCACATAATAACTGCATAGTTAAGCAAGAAACCATAGTATCCAATTTCGCATGTAATCGTCAAGTACATAGGCAATGACTGTAAGGTTCCAGGCAAAGACAACACAATCATGATCAACGGTAAGAAGATTTGCTGGAACTACAGAAAGGGGAAGTGTCGGTTCGGCCACAATTGTAAATATGCTCACGACTCCGACATTCAAAAGACTAATGAAGAATTGGATGCAGAAAAGCAGGTAAGATCTCTTTTATAGGTCAATAAATGAAATTAAAAAATATTTTTTTTCTGTGTACCTAACATTTTATATTTTGTATGAAATTTAGTTAGCAGCTGGGATAGAATTTAAATAGGTAGTCTCATACACTCATCTCAATATGTTTTAATGATGTTTCAGAAACTGAAATCAGTTGTTTGTGAAGGAGTGGGCACTGTGACCTCATTACCACCGCCACAGACAGAAGCAGTGGCACCCACAGATGATGCTATTTGGGAAGGTGGAGCAGACAAGAAGAAATTAAAAAGACCAGGCCTTAGTGAAGGCTTAGTGCCAGGAAAGAAAGTCCTAAAAATGTACAAACAACAAAAAATAAAAGATTCTAAAAAATAATTCAAGTTTTTGAATTTCCTATTACACCTCTCAGTAAAACTTGTTTGAAATAACGATTTACTATTCATTAATATCTTCTCTTCTTGCTGTAATTTTTCTGGTTGTCTTACCAGTACCATAAGCACCTACCTAGTACCTACTTACTCAGATACTTTTGTCTATGTAAACTTGATGATAATTATATTATTAAACGAATTCCAGTCAAAAAATAATATTAAACCTGACTAACAAACAAGACCACTATGATGAACTAAGTTTCTTTTTTTTTAGAACGCCTACATTACGCCCATGCGGAGCCGCGCGGAACTTAGTAGGTAGTCACGCAATTTTTTTAGAGATATTAATCCTATGTTGCAGTACTCTACAGGCTAGCTAGCACCGAAGTCATAAGTAAACCGAAGTGAAGGCTCTGTTCACAGATGAGACACTACATAATAATATGTATTCGATAGGATGTTTGTATACAGAGTGGAATTTTGTAATGGCACCTAGAGGGAAGTACTGTTTATAGGTACTGTAGTTAGAAAATGTTATTCAAAGAAAACATTATTTTAATAAAGAAATAGAACTCAAGAAAATTTGATGGTATGGTGGTAAATTTTCTCGAAAATGTTTTGAAAATCTTTGAATGCAATTCTTTCTTTTCAAAAATAAAGGAATGTTTTCTTTGAGTAAAATTTTCTAAATAAGCATTTCCCTCCAGGTGACATTACAAAATTCCACCCTGTATACGTGACGCACGCAACCGGTACAGCAGATGTAAGGAGCTTGAAAGAGAAAGCTAAAGATATTGTGTATCGAAAATGGGGCAGCAGAGGAGTACTCACCATCAAAAAATAAAACAAAAACGAACTTTGCATTTCTTCTTTATTCAGAAATGATGCAGAATGTATAGACATGCAAATTTTAGATTTTTACATCCAATAGCTATATCAGCGACAGCATACACGGAAAAATTTGCTACACAGTAAACAATAGAAATAGTATCACAAAGCCATATTTGTACTAATTAAGTACCACACGTACCGTGTCAAATTTTTATAACAAGTTTATTTCTGATACTGTCGGTAGCTGGTCGTATTAAAAATCCATATGAAATGAGCCTATACATAATAGTTGTCACATGTTTATTGCCGACACATGTTAGCTAAGATTGAGCTCTGCATTTCTCAATTATAATAGCACAGCCATTAACGATGCTATGATGGCTATTCGCCAAACGCATGAATAGCCTCATCACTAACATACTCTCAAGTGTAGACATACATACACTGAAGACGCTTACATTTACACTTCTGTAATCAACATTTTATCATTTTGCAATAAAGTAAATATTAGGGCAAAACCGACGTTGCTTCAATCTACCACAAAAATATATTTCAGCATATTCGACCGTAGCAGGCCAGCACAATACTTTAGGGGGGACCACTAATTTCATTAATCGAAGGGAATCTAACATTTGGACCCCTAAATTAAATCTACTATAACGCCACGACATCAAGATTTTTAAAATTGATCTTAAAACTACAAAATTAAATAAATTGTATTATTACATTTTAAAATTCTTGCAGTTACAGTAAACGTTGGCAGATTAAAAGTAGGCAATAACCAAAGAATTCGATTTATGGTGCGTCCACTCTGGGCGAACGGGCTCGCGCGGCAAGCTGGTCATCCTGCTCACCTTGCTCTTGAGTGAGCAGGATGTCGAGTTTGCCGCGCGAGCCCGTTCGCCCAGTGTGGACGCACCATTACAAATACAAACATAAAATGAAATGCTATTCATTAGGTAAAAGTAGATAGTACTTACTAAGATAATCTAATCATACTGCAACAATACTTAAATTTACTTTATTGCGACGCATTAAGTACTTGCGACAAAATAGATGTAATACATGTAATAAATATGTTCAAGTATTCAAATATATAATATTTATGTAAAGGCACAAACCATATAAAGTATTATTTTCAATACATTTCGTTTTTACAATATTTTATTTCATAGAGTGCATCGATATTTCATATATGTTACGCTCAAGGAATACTACAAAAATAGATTTCATTTGGCATTTGTACATTAATATGAATAAATACAATATATGATATAGCCATATGCGTACTTTTCAGGTTATTGGCGGTAGATATAAAAGTTTAAGTATGATTTTATAGTATAGTAGTAATCCCTAAATCATTCTTAATAGTAATTTACAAACAATTTGGTGTATATTGAAACATTACAAAGTGGAATTAAAAAAATTACATCTATAGGTAGGTAGGTATAGTTGAATATCTTGTTTATATCTTAAGCGCAACCTTGGGTATCTTTGGTGATCCGAGATCGATTCTGTGGGAATTCTTTAAGTTTTCCACCTCAATGTCGCGAGCGTTGCCGTTCGGGACGACCCCATTGGTTTTGGCTTTCGGCCCGGAGTCGTGGTGCCCGTTCATTTTGACTCCATTCTCTTTGACGCCGCATCCGTTGATCTTCTCGTGCACGTGGCCGTTAATTTTGTCCCCGTGGCCGTTAATCTTATCGCCATGGCCATTCAGTTTCTCATCACTGCCATTCATCGACCATTTAGCAACTCCTGATAAACCACAAAAAAACACCTTATAACCCCTCGCATCTACACACTCCCAATGAAACACTGGCGCTATTGTGTTAGTCGCGAAAACTAAGTGTTAATGTCCATAACAATGATAAATGTAAATCTTGAACCGTAATATTAGTCCGTGTTAGATGAGTCATCGGTTGACATACTATCAGAGCATTTATGTCCCAGAATAACTGCTTTCGAATCTGCAAAATCATTTTTTGGCTTTAAACAAATACTTGGATGATATACTGAACAGCTATAAACTTTCACACTAGCGGTCACACTACGGTGCGGGACGCTTGAATGTGAAACTAAAAACACCAACAACTATAAACATTTAAAGGAAAAACTAGGAACAGACTAAGAATAATAAAATCTAACACGACTAATAAGGTGGCTAAGAACTAAATACTAAACACAATTACGCCAGTGTCCACATGGAAAGTTGTCACATGCATAAGAAATGATTGAGATTTGAGGAAATGTAAACAACACATATCGCGACAGGTTGGTCAACTGTCTCTTCCGTTTGTTAGATCAACCAAAGTACAGTTCATGGCTGCTAATAAATGTAGCCAAACAGAAAAATAAGTTGGAATATTTTGCTTATCACTTGTAGCATAATGACGTCCAAAATATCATTAAGCAGCTAGTACTGTACTTAATTGTTGGTAAAACAAGCGGAAGTGTTCGGTGGTAAACTCACCATTGCAGTCATTGCCTCTGTAATACCTTTTGGATGTCTTCCAGTCTTCTTTCAGAGACAAGTTATACATTGAGTAGGCTGGGTCACCAGTCACCTCCTTCTCTATGGCTAGAAATTTAGGAAGCGAAGCCAGTAGCGAATCTTGGTCGTACGCGGCGCTGTATGTCTCGAGCAACACCAAGCCGCGGCACCTGGAATATCAACAACTACATTTTAGACTACAATGAAAATAGCTGACGAACTAATTGAAAAAATTGCACGACTAAACACTACTGAAGCCTCAATAATTTACCTGAAAGAGACGAGCAGCTATCAGTTTTGAGGTACTCAAATAAATAAGATAAGCACATAGCAACACCTTTATTAATAAATATAATACATAAATAAGTATAAAATACTTAAAGCTGCAGAGTAGATAGGTAGATAGTGAAGAGAATCAAATTGAGAGTAACAATCACCTGGGATGCGTGGGCTGTCTATAAATGTCCAACTGGTAGTACTGATTGTTGTAGATGAAGCAGCGGCGTTTTTTGAATATCGTGAAGTGGGCGTCGTCTCTCTGCGGGAGCATGTTGAGATAGTCGCGGTGCGTGAGTTGCGTGCGCACCTCTACGGATTGACCATTTGTAGGATGGAACTTGCGAATGGTGTGAATATACGACCAGTGGCCCTTTTGGCCGCGCTTGCGCAAGCGAACTTGAGCCTTGCGGACGTCGCTCTGCAAGTAGTTATGAACGACATCGAAGTCCTGGAAAGGTGGGAACTCCGTGTCGGCGACGAGCGGCGACTTGACGAGGAACTTGCGCTTCTTCGAGTTGACGTTGAGCCGGTCGCCGGTGTCGATGCCGATCTTCTGGCACACGCACGCGATGAGCCGGTTCATCTTCTTGTCGAAGTCGGTGGAGTTGTCGATGACGTCGAAATAAGGGTGCCCTATCCACGCGGCGGCCGCGTTGTAATCCAGCTCCCGAGCTAATTCGACACCCTCCGACCGGCAGGCGTGGTCCTGTAACAAATACAAACATAATTATAGTTTTTTTTAATTACCCATGTAAGAAATTAAGGTAATGTTTGGTCTAATTTATTAAATTGACAGATATGTCAAAATTCACCAATCACGCAGCATTTGGACCTCGCGTCTACGTATTGCCATCTGGCGGATTTTTCAATCGCGAAAACCCTCATTCAACATAATGAACCGAGTTCGAAGTTTTGAGAGTAGTTGAATAAGAATACTACTAAGTGAATAAACTTAATTGTTTGTAAACTTTAATAGTGAGTAGTAGTATTGACCTTGAGGGTATTATGTCACGAAACCAAAACAATGGTTATCTAAACGATGAACGAGATTAAAAATACCCTACAGATAAGCTGCATTAACACAGATAAGACAAGTGTAGTGAATAAAAAGAAAAATAATTCAGATCACAAAATAAGTACACAAACAATAATTAATTTGAACAGTCATAAGCATCAGAAATTTTCATTTATCTAATTAAATCATGATGCTTGTGTATGTAAATAGTTAAATAACGTGTAAAAGGAACAAACTATTTGTTCAATTATGTATCTTGACACATTCATAAAGAACCACCTGTCATACACTTGATTAAAATTATTATGCTATTATTCTGTCTCGGAATGTAATCTAAACGAGTAACTACATGTATCGTAGAAATATTATGTGGGACTGTTATAAT